TTTTTTTTTTCACTAACAAGTGATTGGTTCAATTGGTTAAGACTCATCTTCCTCAACGAAGAGATTTTGGGTTTGAGTATTACAGGTGATCACTTGCCAGGATTATCTCGAATGCACGATTTACAATCATCTGTCTTAAGCTGTCAGGTATGACACATCTTACCATAACCTGAAGGATTGAGTAGTCTATCTATCCTCAGATTTTTCTTACAAAAAAATATATCTCTTTTTTCTCTCCTAAACTTCCTTGTATATGTACAAAATAATAATAAAAAAAAAACACACTTTTCAACTATTATATGTGCATTTGGTATTGTCCTTGATTGTAAATACTTCTATCAAGTGGGCATTTTAAAATTTACCTTTAACTTGAAACCAAATAAAATAAATATTTGTAAATCAATTAATAATTTAATAATATTTACACTTAAACAGATTGAGAAATCCCAAATCTCCTCGGTTCAAGATGAATACACATATACAATAACAATGCAAGAGGCACAAACATCCATGCTTGTTTCTTAATTTCATCTTAGAGCAATTATATAGGGCAATTGAACACTAGCTAAAAAAACAAACAAAACAATCCATTTCATGGAATAACCTTGTCTATTTTTTATTTTAAAAAATGTGATCAGTTTTCCTGTGTATTTAGATAGTTTAATTCTATATTACCAAACAGGCTCTTGGAAGAGAATAACAAAGTAAGAAAATGGGCATTAATTCTCTAATATGTAGCATAGTGGGACAGAGATTGGGAATCTACGCAATGGATGAATGTGAAGGATGTCGTTTTTGGTCGGACACATTTTATTTATAAATTCATTCCCCTCTCTTCTTGACTTATCATCAAATTTTTTTGGCCAGTTCTTGATTCATCATCTGAGGATTAGGGTTTTTTAAATATTTGAAAAAAAAACCCTAACAAATGGAACATGGGTTTTTGTGTGTGTCGCTTCGTTTGCATGTGTCTCTACTTATATTTTTGAAACAAAAGGCATAGGATACCATCGAAAGAGGGGCATCATTTTTTGTGGAAGGAAGCTCCGAATGCATGGAGCCAAAAGCAGTTGAATTATCTAATACTTAAAGTTTTCTAGTATCATACATCCCCTTATTATATGTGTATTTCATCTTTTAATTTTCACCTAATGTATTCGTCAAATTATAATGTCGAATAGAACAGATGCCGGGTCTGCTCAAAGTTAGCTTGGATAAAGACATTGCCACATGAAAAAAAACTCACTTGACATAGACGTACCAAAAAAAATATTTCTATATATATATATATATATATATATATATATAAGGAGAGGAGGAGAAGAGTTTTCATATAAAAAAATCTCAATAATTAACTATCTTGTCCGATGCCATGTAATTTGAAGTTTGTGAATGGATGCATGATGTGACATGCAAGGAAGAAAAAAATGACATAAAAAGAGTTTTCGACACATGAAAGAGTATAAAAAATTGACCAAAGTATTCCCTTATCTTTAAATTTCGATCTCCTTTTGTGCTAAAAGAAATGATTGAGTATGCATAACAAAATTCAATAACATTCATGATTGTATAACAACTAAACTAGCTACCACACATTTTGAAATAGTCCATTCTATATTTCATACCACCGTCTTGATAGACTTGTCTCTGTGTGACAAATGAAGAAAAAGTAATTATCAAATGGAAAAGCACATATGACTTTAATATAGAGTGGTAAATATGGTTCTCCTACTCTTCTAGCTTTTTACGAATAAGTTTGAAGCCAAAAATTTCCCTAACTAATTTTATTGAGAATTTATAGTATTTGATACACTTCTATTTCATAATCTACTTATAGATTATAATTCGTTTAACTTGTCGAGATGAATATTTGTTAAATATTTTAAAAAATTGATGTGGTAAACTTATGGATTTGTTTAAGTTCTATTATATTTGGGTTTGATTTAATTTTATATTAAATTTATTTAAATATATATGGTTTCATTGTTCATTGGTTTGTCTATTTAATTTAATTAATTTTTTTTATATTTAAATAGCATAATTTTTTTATTTGCAATATTTAAGCAGCAGTGCTTAACACATCGAACATGTGATTCTCGCATTTTGAGACACTCAACTATTACACTCATTTTTTAAATTATATCACTCACAATTTTTTTATTATAATATTATAATTATTTAATCACAATAAATAATTATATAAGTGTCCACAATTTATAAATGTGAGTTACAAATAAAATTTTGACCGATCTCATACAATTTTGAATTATGATTATACTTTAATGATTGTAAGTAAAATGCTTCTATTTAAAAAAAAAAAAAAAAAAAACTATTACACCCTTTCATGGGAATTAAGTTAGTCGTGGAATTTGCTAATTCACGTGAAAATGCAATTGAGCCCCTTTGATTTTTTATTTGCACCAGGCTCCAATAATCAAGGTTGGATTCCCTTCTTTTTTTTTTTTGTTAATTATTTTCCAATAATCAAGGTTGGATTATGCTAGTTTATTAATATGTATAAAACCCATATATGAATTGTGAAAATTATTATAAATGTGAGTGATGATTAAAGTTATATTGAAAAGTAATTAATTAATATGTATAATATTTTTTTTCTGTAAATAATCATAAACTTGTGAATATAAAATCTATCTTTAGATTTTACCCAATTCTAATAATCTCATCTTTGCTATGCTTAGTACTCGAACTAAACCAGTTTAAAAATTTAGTGGTTTTAGCTGCAATCGGTCTGGTTGAACCAAATCCCGGTTGTTTCATTGATGGAGATCTCGCCACCATCAGGACTGAAAAATCAATTAATTCAAGATATTATAGTAACATGGGTGTCATGTAGAATAGTGAAAGTTTTCTATTCAGTTTCCCTTTTTCCCTGCTATAATTCCTAGGAGACAAACAAGTTTTACCATTGGGCTGACTATATTTAAAATGGTAGTACAACTTATGATTTTTCAATTGAAATGAATATATATTTGATTGGGGCATTTTCAAAAGACATAATATATATTTTTTTAACAAAAGAATGATTCATCATTAATTTTGGTCCATTTTGGTTAATAGATCCAAGTTAACGTGGTAGGCCAATTTAGTTTTGAAAATTCATATCAATTCGACTAACTTTATGTTTCACATGATAATATATGAATATACTAACTTATCATTTTTTTTATTAAATGCTCCTTTTATCATATCAAGTCAATTTTAAAAACTTTTATTATCAAGATTCATATATATATTTTTTGTGTACAAATATCTTGTCTTATCTCAAATATAAATAATTAATTCTTTTCGCACTCTATCTAGATTTCTTTCTTCTTTCTCTTTATTTTGAACATTAACTTAAATGTTCAAATACAAACATCAAATGCCATTTAGACATTTATTTTTAATCAGTCAATCTCTTTTCATTTAATGTCTTTGCCTTCCGGATTGAATTTGACACCAATGGAACTGAACACCCATACAGAGTAGTATATGCTATAATTCCGAGTAACACTGATTGAAAATATTACTAGCTAGCATTAATTTCAAATTTTGGTAAGAAAAAAAAGGCCCAGACTGTTAAAATTTTAAAAAAATTTTATAGAATTGTGGTAGACTTCTGTTGTGTAAGTGGAGGGGAGAGGATCATCACCAACATCATTAAAAAAAAAAAAAAAAGAAAAGAAAAGTACGTGTCGCTGGCAACAAGCACTCAACTCTTTTTGGGATGATGGAGGAGGGTGCAGCATCAGAATCACAGTCCATATCTGGGTCCCTCTACCCGGACAGGTATCACGGACCGTCCTCTCTCTCTCTCGGGAACCCCAACTCCCTCTCTCTCTCATGCCATCAGCTCTCCTTGTCTCTCCCTCTCTCACTCTCTTTATCTCTTCCATGTTCACCTGCAGCGCCTGCAGCTGCTGCAAGTGCAACTTTTTCCTAAATATGGTCTTACTTTTAATTATGGTTTAATCATTTCATACAACCTGATCAAAGTGGCTGTAAAGGCAACTCACTTTTTAACCCTAGTCCCCTCCCCCTTTCCTGGACTCAAATCACTAGAAAAAAAAAAAAACATAAATCAAAATAAAAAATGCCTTCGTCTTTTCTGTGAGTAAAACAATCAAATCACATTCCCTTTTTTATAGGTACTACAAATTTCTTTTATTTTTTTCAAATAAATTTAACTATTATTTTTTTAAAAAAAATATTATTGTTAAATTAAATTTTTTTAAAAATTATTTTTAAAAATTTTAAAATTTTATTAAAAATAACGTCAAAATTGGATTCTTTGACAAAAAATGTAATGAGAGTTTGAATTGAACTAAAAACCCTACGACTGCTACAACAACTACTATAAAAAAGACACACAAAAACTTTGTATATTTTCAGCTGGTTACTCAATAGCAGGAGCTTGCTGTCTTGCACACACAAAAGCAAACTTCTATAATCGTGCGTTTGGGTATGAAAGAGAAAGATAGATGGAGGAGAGGGTGTGGCCCATCTAAATCAATTGCTGACCGACTTTGAAGATATGGGTAAGATAAAAAAAGGAGTACGTAGAATAATGTAAGACTATAAGAGATAGGGGTTAGAAGTTAGAACTTAGAAATGAGATAGAGATCACATATTTATTCTCTTTAGTTATCATGGCTTTTGGTGTTTTTTTTTGAAATCAAACAAGGTAAACCCAGATCTTTGTAAGAAGATTCCGAGAGTTTTTTTATTTTTTTTAAAGTATATATTTTTGTGTAGAGAGTGTTTTAGATTTAAGCTTGAGTTGTGCTTTTCTTGTCTCTTTGGCAGAATCCGAGAGAGAGAGTCAGTATTTAAATATACTACCAAAGATTTATCTGCTTGTGTTTGGAGAAATCCTTGTTTTCTTTTGTTTTCTACTGTTTTTTTAGCCTTTTGAAACCTAGTTGTTTTCTTGCAACTAATTTTCAAAACTATCAGTTTTCAGAATTTAGTTGCAACCCCCCCCCCCCCCCCCCCAAATTATGTCTGGTGATATGTTTTCTATGCCTGCTTCAATAGGAGGGTTTGTTGAAGACCAAAATAATGCAAACCCTAACCCTAAATCTAATCCTAATCCTGTTAAGAAGAAGAGAAATCTTCCAGGGACTCCTGGTAAGCTTACTTAACTAATAATTCTTCTATTTCTTGGATACCCTTCTCTTAGTTTTTGTGGATGAACCAATTAAATAGTCCACTGATTAATATTCTTTTATTTGTCTTAACAGATCCAGATGCTGAAGTTATTGCTTTATCTCCCAAAACTCTTATGGCTACAAACAGATTCATATGTGAAATATGCAACAAAGGTTTCCAAAGAGACCAAAACTTACAGCTTCATCGCAGGGGTCACAATCTTCCATGGAAGCTCAGGCAAAGAACCAACAAAGAAGTTCGGAAGAAGGTTTATATTTGCCCTGAGAAAACCTGCGTTCACCATGATCCATCCAGAGCACTTGGCGACCTCACTGGAATAAAGAAACATTATAGCAGAAAACATGGAGAGAAGAAGTGGAAATGTGAGAAATGTTCAAAGAAATATGCTGTTCAATCCGACTGGAAAGCTCACTCCAAAACTTGTGGCACTAGAGAGTATAAGTGTGACTGTGGGACACTATTTTCCAGGTATTACATAAACCTTTGTTTCTAATTGTTTTTCTTTTGGTTTAAAATCTTTTATCTTTTTCTTACGACGTTGCATAAAGAAATAAATGCTCGTATTTGAGGGCTTCATGACTTTGGGTTTTCGAATTTAATGCAACCTAATGATTAAGTAATAAGTGCTTGTATTTCTAAATTTTGGGGTATTGAACTGGGATTCTTTTAATTCAAACAGAAAAGACAGCTTTATCACCCATAGAGCATTTTGTGACGCCTTAGCTGAAGAAAGTGCAAGATTCACTTCCGTTGCAGCGGCAAACCTAAATTTCAGAAATGATAATGTGAACCTGCCTCATGGATTTGCTGGCCGAGGAGTTCAAGATGTTGCTGGAATTCCTCAATTTGGTTCCGGTTTTGCACAAGATTTTAGTGGGACGCCTTCAGCAGGTAACTGATCTCCCTCAAAAAAATACCAACATAATCCACCACATTGCAGTTTATTTGATGAGGATTAAATCGGGCCTGGACCTGCTTCTTTTCGGTATATATATTGTGACTAATTCTGTCATCTATTCGTGTTATTGCATTTGACAGTTTTGCCTGAGATGGTTCAAATGGCTTCAGGCGATCTCTTTGGCTCATCTTCACTGAACAATTTCGGTAGCCAGGGTCACTTCCCTGGATTTAACAAGAGTGGTGCAACATCAACAAATTCGAATCTCTCCTCATCGCCATTGCCACAAGGGTTAAAAGAAGAAGGTGGAAAAAAAGGCGATTTGATGGAAAGCTTGTCGTCTCTCTACTCAGATACTCAAAACAAGCAATCCAAGCCTGCTGCACCCATGTCAGCAACAGCACTTTTGCAAAAAGCAGCCCAAATGGGTTCAACAAGAAGCAATCCTTCCTTCTTTGGAAACAGTTTTGGTGTAACGAACTCATCTTCTTCTCACACGGCGAGTTTAAGTACAACTCAGAATAGAAATGATCAGCTGCATCAGGTCTATCCAGATGTGAAACAACAAGAGAATTTCATGGCATCAAGTAGTGTATCAATGAGTGCTGATGCAGGTCTTGGAAGTTCAAATTTGAATTCAATGACTAGTGCTACAAGCAACAACCTTGATCAGCTCATGTTACAAACAGGAGCAAAACAAAGTGACCCAAGTCAATTAAAGATGCACCCTAGTTCAAATTCCATTGATCGAAGCCTGACTAGAGACTTCCTTGGCATGGGTAATGATCAATCTTCTCGTCCATTTTTACCCCAAGAACTCGCCAAATTTGCATCAATTGGCTCGACCATGGACCTGAGTCAATTCACCAGCAGCCACTGAGCTCAGCTACCTTTCCAAATACCGTTACAGGCTTACAGCTCAGTATTAAAAAATGCTGCAACAATATACGATCGAGGTCCTATACAATATATATATTGTATTTATATATATATCTGCAATATAGTTTTAAAAAAAGCTCAAAGTTGGGGGCCGAGTTGGAGTCTCGATGTATTGGCAAAGCAAAACCAAATTAACCCCCTGAAAAGCACAGAAGCTCATCTTGTGAATGTTCAGTGGAACTGCCGAGGGGGGTCGGTGAAGGGGCCCCAATTCCATGTTTGAAATGACTAAACATTGAGCAAACTCCAAGTCATGCATGTACTCTTTGTTGTTTTGTTTTGTGTCTCAGCTCTCTTATCGTTTTTCACCATTTTATTGTTATTTTTAATTTTTTTCCTTTACTTATCTTGGTTAGTAGTACAAAGTACCGACGCTCTTTTTCGGAATTGAGTTTGGTTGACTGTCGGTCAAAGAAATGCGGCTTAGTCGACTCATCTTTGGTGGGTTTAGGGTTTGGACATTTGTTCAAAAGCCTGCTTTCGTTTATATATTTTTTAATGTTAGGTATGTAGAGGAGACTTCGATATTAGCAGCCTTTACACGTTTCTATTTTGTTTTTTTTTTCTTTTTTCTATATCTTTGTATATTTATTTAGTGTATATATCATCAACTAGGAAGGCAGGGAAGGTAGGAAGAATCCGGGGCTGCAAGATAGACCTTATTGTAATGAGAAATCTAGTGAAATTATGGGGCCATGTATGTGTTACTTAGAAGTCAAGGATAGCCGTCGATCTGTCAAATGTTAAATTGATGGAATTTGGAAAAATATCCCGGAATTATCCACAAATTTTTTCCTTTTATAACCATTTGTAGACAATCTTATGATGTCTTATAAATTTTTTTATTAGGAAAAGAAGCAATTTGATTCGTATTCTCTAATTCAAATACTTACTATTAAGTCAACTATTCATATGCAATATTTAGAAATCAATATCTTTATCGTTGTATTTAAAATATATAGACAAATATCTAATAAATTTATAATTTAAATTTCAATGCCTACATGCAAATGCTTTTTTTTGTTTCACAGGTAACAAACTTCTTTTGGTACAAAAATATATGACCTAATTAGTTTGGTAAATATAAGTTTAAATTGATAATTAACATATATTTTCTAAATAGTTTTTATTGATAACGACAATTTTATTGTTAAATCTCCATAATATGTATCTTGGGCCGAAGGAATTTATATAGCATATGTCAATTTCATAATTATGATAATATTATCATATAAGTTTATTTACTTCTTACATATATGTAGTAATTTTAGTTCATATATATATATATTAATACTGCATATTTTTATAATTTTTCCATGTATTATCTCCTCTCTCTCTTTCATTTCTGTTCTATAGATGAATCATACGGAGAAAATGATAAAGACACGACAACCTTGGAACTAAGATAGAATGTTTTAGGTTTCCAATGTAAGACCTATTGGAAAACTACATGAACGGTCTTGTTTTGTTCTCCAAAACATGCTTTTGACAGTGATTAAGGGGGATGGGGGTGACCCTTCATTTTGGCCGAAAAAGGTGGCAAAATTCTCCATTTCTTTGGCAGTCTCTAGGGCACTGTAGTGTTGTCCCTAACAGCCCATTACTGGCCACAATTTGTACAAGACAGTTTTTGACTTTCAAAGCCCTTTTAAAAAATATATATTAGGAGGGTTTTCGGTGTTGTTTTTGAAACTGGGATATGTCAATGCTTCACACTTCAGAGAACCAATGGTGAGTGAGCCAGGCAAACAGCAGGATCTAGAATGAAGAGATCGATGTGGCCAAGAAATGCACAAAAAAGAGAGATATCCAAAATATATGAATTTTCCCTTTTAAACTAGTGGTTAAGAGATCAGTTGAAAATCATGTAAAGCATGAATTCTATCCCGCCATCTCTCCTTCCCCTTCTAAGGACACTAACTCTTCTTTATAACAAAAAAAAAAAATTTCAAAATATATAATTTGGGATTTTTGAATAAAGAATGTGAATATTAATTGTTTTCACCTTAATTTTTATTGGTTCTTGTCACGACCAGCTTTTTGAGACTTGGGTCATCCCATGTCTTTGAAGTTTTGAACTACTAGTATTATATTAATTTGGAATATATAACAAGCTTCAAACAAATTTTTAGCTAAGAGGAAAGTTGCAGTATATTTATAAATTTATCTCCAAATAATTCCCAAATAAGTTATTAGTTTATGTCTTTATCTTTTTATTTTTTTTTAATTTGATTAACGGTAAGATTGAAAAAAAATCAAAAACTAAATCAAATCATAATATTTTGTTTGGTTTAAGCTTAAAAAGATGTTTATTTGATTTGATTCGATTCGATTTTTTATTTATAATTTGAAAAATCAAAATTATCTGCATTGAATAGCATTTTTATTTTTTTATATATTTATTCATCAATATAAATAAATAAATTAAAAAATAATGTGAAAAATTAAAATTCTTTAAATTTTAAAAAATGACAAACTAAGCCTAATTAATTAGGGTTTACATATATGGAAGGGTAAAAGTACCTAATTGAGATTTTAATGATTTTGCACCACCATATCAAGCGTTTCACTTTATATTTCATGTTTCATGCTTTTCAATATCATCCCTATTTATATAAAAAATTGTTATAATTATTCAAAATTTCAAGTTCATCAAATATTTTACATTTTTTTATCCTCTCTGGCCAAAAAACAAAGTGTTCTTATGACCCAATTTTTAGGAGGTATTGTTGGGTTTGGGAAGCCCAGGAAAGTCTGTGGTTGGGCCAGTCTTTGGTCCAGACAAAAAATAATTTTAGGACATGTCAACCTCTTACTGGTTAAAAATTCCACATGTTATTCCACGTGTATTCCATCTATTGGCTGAAGCAACGTGGAATGACATGCAAATCCTCGGTTCCTCGAACACTTCTTCCAAATCACGGAGACTCGAACAAATTTATAAACTCAAAAACTCTTTTATGGCTGTCAAAAGTTTGGAGATTTCTGAATCCCAAATCAAAATCATCAAACAGACGTAAAAAAAAAAAAAATACAACAAATTTCTATCAAAATTATAGATTTATAGAAAGAGAGGAAGAAAAATGTTGAAGAGTTTGAGTTTGAGTTGGGCCTTCAATTTAATGGCTTGGAGAGGATTGGTCTACGCAGTTTTTATACTCCATTTTGTATTGGTTTGCCAGCTTCTGCTTCTTCAGCCTCTCGTTTCTGCTTTGGGTTAGTCAGCTTTTTAATTTTATTCTTTTGTGTTTGATGATTTGATCTGGGGTTTTGCTCGATAAAATTAGTGGGTTTTAGCTGTAAACCTGGTTTGTATAGTTTCATTGATTATCTGGGTTTTGTTTGAGTAAGGTTAAAGTAAGTTTTTGGATTAGAGAATGTGGGAAAGTTAAAGTCTTGGAGGGAAAGAGAAAATTGATTTTTTTTTATATTAATTGTTTGTTTAAGTGTTGTTTACAATCAATCTATGGTCAAAGGAACTCCTTTTGAGATTTTCTTGGATTGCTGTTTTCTTGAATGGTCAATTGGTCAGCTCTCCTTTTGCAAATGGGCTATTAACCTGTAAAAAGATTATTAATTTAGGATTCTAATTGGGTAAGGACGAACAGTTTCCTCATTTTTGTATGTTATATCATCATTTTTGGTTATAACCCTTCTCTGGTCGAAATTGGTGGAGTAGAATTGTCTGTTGGATAGTTCAGCTTGAAAAACAATTTTCTTTTTCATACTTGCATTTAAAATGTACTATAGCTAACAAAATGAATTGAAAAGCACCTGGTGGTGCAAGCATGAAAGTGATGACTCCATTGCTGCTAAACATCTTTGTAGAAATGTATCTTATGTTTGACTTTTGTATGAACTTTTTAAGACCCAGCAGTCGAATAGCTGGTGCATCTTGTTTAAATATTAGAATTGGTATTCTTAGAGTTTTAATTTGATTGTAAGTGCCAGTTAGCAAATGCGTACCTTCCCTGTTTCTATGTTCTTAAAGTTTCCACTTGGATGTGCAGATGGAAAGCCTGGAAATGCTGCTGAGCTGTTTGACAGAGTTTCACAGAGTATAAAAGTGAAGCGCTACAGTGAGGCACTCAATGATCTAAATGCTGCCATTGAGGCAGATCCAGCACTTTCGGAAGCATATTTTCGCCGTGCATCGGTTCTACGTCAGCTATGCCGGTACTGTTGAAACTTTGGAAGTTAGGATATATACTTGTATTCTATCATTTACAGTACCTTTTTTTTTTTTCTTTTTCATGTTTAATTCAAAAGAAATTATTGCAAAATATGGTTTTATTGTGATATTCTAAAGTCTTTGATGACATTTTTCTATACTTCCAAGAAAAAATTGGTATGAATTATTTGTGAAGTATCATGGTTCCTTTTGCACCTTGAAAGTAAAAAATTTACGGTATTTTCTCCCTACTCTCTTCCCACTCTATCTTCATCTTCTGATTGGAAAATTATATGACAGGCACTTTTTTTCAATGATGTAGATATGAGGAATCTGAGAAGAGCTACAAAAAATTTCTGGAACTAAAACCTGGAAATTCAGTCGCTGAAAAGGAACTGTCTCAATTGCATCAGGCTCAAAGTGCTTTGGAAACAGCTTTCAGTCTCTTCAACTCTGAAGACTTTATAAAAGCTTCAGAATATGTGGATAAAGTTGTACTAGTTTTTTCTCCAGCATGCTCAAAGGTAGCACCTACTTTAAATTTCTGTTCTTTCATTTTTCCCTGAGTTATAGCAATCTTTATAAACTCTACTGTCCTTCATTTGTTGCAGGCTAAGCTCCTCAAGGTAAAGTTGTTGTTAGCAGCTAAAGACTATTCTAGTGCTATAGCAGAATCTGGGTATATTCTCAAGGAAGATGAGAGCAATCTTGAGGCCTTACTACTTCGTGGTTGTGCATACTACTATTTAGCTGATCATGATGTTGCTCAAAGGTTTGTTTAAAATTTTTTCCTAGCCATAGATTTTTATGATGCTGTTGGTTACATTAAGATTGGGATTTAATAGATGAGATGCATGATCTTTTCAGGCATTACCAGAAAGGTCTCCGCCTTGATCCAGAGCACAGTGAACTGAAGAAAGCATATTTTGGATTGAAAAATTTACTGAAGAAGACTAAAAGCGTAGGTCCACTAAATGTCTTTTTGAATTCTTCCTCTCCCTTTTTTGTCCTGTTTGAGATCAGTGTAGGGTTAGATACATGGGAGTTTCATATTGGTCCTATTTTATCAAACAACCTTCTATTTTATTTTGTTTTTAACTTAAAGACTGTCATTTCATCCACTATGTGTCCTATTTTTATTAAGGTACTTGGACTCTTGGAATCTTATGTAGGCGGAAGATAATGTAAACAAGGGTAAGCTGCGCCTTGCAGTTGAGGACTACAAAGGAGCACTTGCATTGGACCCAAATCATCTCGCTCATAATGTGCATCTTCACCTTGGATTGTGTAAGGTCTTGGTTAAGCTTGGCAGAGGGAAGGATGCTTTTAGTAGTTGCTCTGAGGCACTTAACATTGATGGGGAACTTCTTGAAGCTTTAGTACAGGTCTGCTGTAGATTCATTCACTTCATCTAAATTTTTACTACAGTTGGTTGAACATAATGCCATAACTATCATTCTTTACCTGTGTTTGAATGTTTCAGAGGGGTGAGGCTAAACTTTTAACAGAGGATTGGGAAGGTGCTGTGGAAGATCTCAAATTAGCAGCTCAAAAATCGCCTCAGGTTAGTCATAATATTAAATTTGGATAATAAATGTCTCTGTTAAAATTTCTTCTTCCAGAATTTAGTTTTAGGCTTGTCATATGGTATTTAGATCAATAAAATGTAATGTTTGAGACATCTTATATGCATTTGCTTGTATAACTGAGAAGAAAAGCTTTTCCGGGATAAGAAAGAACAATTTAGTAGATTTAAGGCTGTGGTTTTGTAATACTTTTGTTGTGTATTTTTAAGAGTTTCTGAATTCTGCCAAAGATACATGGTTTGATTTCATGTTTTTTGTTATTCTTTGTTAGAATTATTCCTAAGTGAGAATAAGATAAATGGAATATAATACAGTAACATCATAGAAATCCTTATGTTAAACCTTCAATGCTGTCTTGTTACTGTTAATAAAAATTTTGGATCAACTTAGAGTTATATTTTTGGTTATTATTCCAATCATGAGTATCTCTGGCCTCATGAGGGCTATAAATTGCTTTCTTTGCAGGATATGAATATCCGTGAAGCACTTATGAGGGCTGAGAAAGCTTTGAAGATGAGCAAACGTAAAGACTGGTACAAAATTTTGGGAGTTTCAAAGACTGCTTCTGTTGCTGAAATAAAACGTGCATACAAGAAGCTTGCTTTGCAATGGCACCCAGATAAGAATGTTGATAATAGAGAAGAAGCTGAGGCACAATTCCGAGAAATTGCCGCTGCATATGAGGTCCGATTCGTTAATAATTAACTTTCTTTATCATCAGTATAATGTTTTAACTTAAACTTTTGGTTGATACAAATTTGTGATCATTAATATTTTTTAATCTATGCCATTTATTCTAAAGATAAAATGAACAAAATGCTAATAACAAGTTGCTTTTCACTCACAGGTTCTCGGGGATGAGGAAAAGAGATCAAGGTATGACAGAGGAGAAGATATTGAAGATGTGGGTATGGGAGGTGGTGGTTTCAACCCATTTGGTGGTGGTGGGGGACAGCATTTCACATTTACATTTGATGGAGGGTTTCCTGGAGGCTATGGTGGTGGTGGTGGATTTGGTTTCAACTTTTGATACCTTCACGAAATGGTATAGGAGTACATTTTTCAATCCTAAGCGCTAACACTAATATGACTAGGACTGACATCTTTCGGCAGTCAGTAATTTCCACCACTAGAACTGCCTTGTTACATGAACAATGTATCCCCTTCACAAAGGTTGCTTCATTTTATTCATTTTAAAATTTGTATCAGTTGATGATAGGAAATTGAAGAGCATCAATTTGTCATAAATTCTACTATTCTTTCCCCACCAAAGCAATGATGAAATAAATATATGACAGACATATAACTCCAGTGATAGCGGCTATGAAAGTCTCTCTGTTTAAGGATCCCATTCCCATCCGACTTTATCAGAAGTCTCTGCTTTGTTTTTGAGCCATTCTAATATTCCATCAGCAGCAGAGGCCATTGCCCTGTTGAGCTATTGCATTTAAAGAACCATAACTTCTACGGATAGGGTTTGCTCGCTGTTTACTCTATTCTGTTAACAGTCCATATAAATTTTGTAAATTCTGTAACTAAATTTCTTTCTTTTTTACGCCAGTCAAAACAAGTTAAATCCGGGATTGTAGCATGAGATCATGGCACAAATGCTGCTCTCTTCTCTCCCAATATTATTCATAGCATTTTCAATATTGGTGCTATTTGAGCAAAAGTATTGGTGCAAATGAAGAAGAGTACCAGGAAAAGAAAAGGAAAGAAGAGCTGCTTTCTCATTCTTTTAGGCTCTGGCCTTTACCTATAGTATTCTTGTTTTACTGAGGTGTATATATGTATGTTGAGAGATGAGGGATGGGTTGTTAATGTAAATGTTGGGTGGATGGATGGGTTACCTTTTAGTTAGAATATAGCAAGAAAAATGTTAAAGTACATCTTTTTTCTTTTTGTTAAGATATTTCAATCAAAAGTGGGGAGACTGCTTTACAAGACAGGAAAAAAGAGCATGGGATCAATGAGAAAAACCATGGTGTTTTTGCATGTGACAGGGAACGCTGTAAGCTGGAGTGGACTCATGAAACAGTGCATTGGAATGATATGGGCCTTCAGCTTTAGAAAAGCTCTAGCCTTTTACTTGCCCAATTCATAAAGGGTTGGACTTCAGTAATTGATTAGGCCAGGGGAATCAAATGACTGGGCTCTGAGTCCAAACGAGGAAATCAGACTGGGCCTTTTAACATGCTTATCAGAAATGGAAAAGAAAACACAACAGTTGTCTATTTATAAAAGAATCATAAAAAAACAAATTAAAAAAAAAACTGAAAGCCATAGTATTTATAATAATAATAATAAGTAAGGCTATTCCTGTAAGCCTTAAAAGCCCAAAAGTAAAGACCAAACAAACAGAGTTGAGCTGAACATATCAAATCTCAAACTCAACACAAATCAAAGAAGACAGAAAAACGTCTCCTGTTTTCTCGTCATCGCACTCTCCCTCCGTTTCTCTGTTTATAACTTCAAAGCCTGAAAAACACTCTCCTCAATCCTCCACTTCATCTCCGCCGTCTATTTCGTTGACTTTCCTCAAACTCTATCAAAGTCAAACCTCTTAACTACATCAAATTACTGTAAAAAAAAAAAACTATATACAAACCCCAGATTGCACATACCATTAAAACTGAAAGACTTCTCATAAGCCGCAACCACACAGGATCCGTCCCCCTTGTCTCACCTTCCTACTTTGATCCTATAGCCATTGAAGAACAAACAAGAAAAAAAAAGTTTTAAGACTTTTTTTTTTCTTAAGAAATAAGAAAAATCCAAAATTAAGAAGAAAAAGAAACCCTAGAGTGTCATGATCAGATGTTATCGGGTGTATGATAAGAGACGCCATGATCAACACAGCCAACGGTATGATTTCGGCATCATCTTCATCGGCGAACGCTCAATCGCCGGGTTTGAAGACTTATTTTAAAACTCCAGAAGGTCGATATAAGCTTCAATATGAAAAAACTCACCCTTCTGGCCTACTTCACTATGCTCATGGCAAAACTGTTACTCAGGTAACTTCAAATTTCTAGGTTTAACTTTAAATTGGTCCATTGTTTAGCATGGGATTTCTTTTTGGTGTTTTTGATATTTAAATTTATAGTTAGAGAGGATTTCCAATTTATTAGTAAAAATATGGTTTTCAACAAATACCCATTTGTTGGAAGCACTGAATGAACAGATTTTATTAGTTTATTTTGTATTATCAATTTGAGCATTGTTGGTTGAAAGATTGAATTTTAAGGACTTTCAATCAATGCCCATATTTCTAAAGTCAATTTTCAATCGTTTTTGTGTAATACTTAGGTTTCAGTATTGATTTTCTAGGATTTTATTTGATTAAGTTTGACTGTCAGGTTACCCTAGCGCTTCTGAAGGATAAGCCAGCTCCGTCAACTCCGACAGCTTCATCATCCAGCTTCAGTGCTAGCAGTGGGGTAAGATCAGCAGCAGCGAGGTGGCTAGGTGCTGGGAATGGGAGCCGTGCAATTGGCTTTGCTGGAGGGAATGGTGGGGGTAAAAGTGTTAGTAGTACTAGTAGGATTGGGTCATTGGGTGCTTCGAGTTCAAGTAATTCAATGACTAATACAAATTTCGATGGGAAAGGAACTTATTTAATCTTCAATGTTGGTGATGCTATTTTTATAAGTGATTTGAATTCTCAGGATAAGGTAATTTAGCATTTTGTTGTTAAGGTTTTTGATGAATTGGAAGGGTTGTCCATGGTGTATTTTCAGAATCTTGGTGTTTAATGTAGGATCCAATAAAGTCCATCCATTTCAGTAGTTCGAACCCTGTCTGCCATGCATTTGATCAGGATGCCAAGGATGGGCATGATTTGCTTATTGGGTTGAATTCTGGTGATGGTAATCCTTCTTAGCTTGTTTTAATTGGCAATTTTAATACTAAGTTTAAACTCTGCCAATTTATGGGTTCTGTGTGTATTATTGTAGTTTACTCGGTGTCATTGAGACAACAGTTACAGGATGTTGGAAAGAAGCTTGTTGGGGCACAGCATTACAATAAAGATGGTTCTGTCAATAACAGGCAAGATTTAGATTACTACATCCTTTATACATTTTCTGACTTTTCAGAAGTATGACCTTTGAACCTTTGTTCACCATCTGAGTTTTCTTTTTAAAATTTTAAGAGTTAGATATTCCATTTTAGGTGTTTCTGCATGTAACTCTTGTAGATTTATGTGTTCTAGTTCTAGGATGGTGCAAAGATATATTGTAATACCCAATGGCTTGGAGCAGGATAATTTTCTAAGACATCTTATGTATCTTAGGGTTTTTTTTTTTTTCCAAGGGTGCATATGCAGCTTACTCCATTTAATCATTATAAAAATATCTTTTTCTGGAATTTATTTCTGTTCTTTTACAGGGGCAGTATTGCCTTTCAGTAACCCATCTATCCTCCTTGACTCCTTGTAGTATGCTTCATTTGTTTTCTCTATGACCTTTCATTATTATTTGAACTGTACTTCTAAGTTATCAGTACTAGTAATTTAAAGTCGGCAACTGACTTGATCTTTCACTGAGTTGATTGTTAACCTTTTTAGCAAATATTGGACTCGTAATTGTTCTTCTGCTGCTATATCTAAAATTTGCTTCCCTCTTGAGTTTCCCCTCAGGATAATAAAAGGGCAATGACTTTTGTGACTAATAGGTGTTTATCTTGAATTAATGTTTTTAATTGTGTTGACTGCCTCCTATCTTATTAATGCTTGTTGTTTCCAGCAGTCGCTGTACTAGTATTGCGTGGGTTCCTGGAGGTGATGGCGCTTTTGTGGTTGCTCATGCTGATGGAAATATGTATGTGTATGAAAAGGCAAGTTTCCAATAATTAAAGAAGGCTTTTTTCACTTCTGGGGGGTAGAACTTTCAAATTTCATGATGTTCTATGCAGTAAGTTTTTTTTTTTTTGTGCCCTCTAGAACAAGGATGGTGCTGGTGATTCTTCATTCTCTGTTATCAAAGACCAAACTCAATTTTCTGTTGCGCATGCACGTTATAGTAAGGTACTGGTCAGTGTTTATTTTGTAAAACTATTTTTAGACTTTCTTCTTTGTGTATTCTTCCTGAAAATTGGTAGTGTTTACCTTAGAACTATTATCTAAAGCTGGAGGCCATTAATGATTTTATCATGTTTATATATATAGTAGGTGCTGCATAGCTTATAGCTTGCTTTTCACTATATGTATTTCTAGGTTTTAGCAAGATAACATTCTGTTTTGAATTAGATGATGCATGTGTTGCTGAGGTGTGCATGGTCTAGATTGTCAAAATGGAATTGACAACCACATTTCCTAGAGATCTGCAAGTAGTCCTAAGTTTGCCCTAGGTATTTTTTTTGAAGAGCTACAAGTAGGTATAATAAAAACGCACATTAATCATGCATGATCAAAACGTATACTTAAAACATTTTGCTAGTAATGTGGTATGTGTATGAAAAAAAAAAAAAAGAATTTAGTCTTGTGCTTGCCTTCTGGTTTATATGTGTATATATATATTTTTTGTTACAGTTTAATAATTCTATGATAGTCTTGATATCTGACATTATCGGACCTGCCTTAGCACCATAATTGCTATTAGTCTGACTGTTGTTTGACCTCATTGAGGAAGCCGTATAAGTTTTCCTCTTATTATTATTTTGTTTGTTGACTTGCCATTATTTACTTGCAGAGTAACCCAATTGCGAGATGGCATATTTGTCAAGGTTCAATTAATAACATTGCTTTCTCCTTTGATGGAGTCTACTTAGCAACCGTTGGAAGAGATGGTATCAAGTCAAATTGACACCATTTGCGTTTTACAGCAGTTTTCTTTTCTAGTTTGTTTGAACTTAAAGTTTTTCTCTTTTCACATACTGATTGCAGGTTATCTGCGAGTTTTTGACTATTCAAAAGAACATCTTGTGTGTGGTGGCAAAAGTTATTATGGTGCTCTACTATGTTGTGCTTGGAGGTGCTCTATTCTTTTTTTTTTTTTTTTCGAAGAAAAGTTTTTAAATTTGTGCATGCTGTTTATCTAGAGTGTACTTGTTTTTTCCATTTGTTACTTTGTATTCTTTTTGTAAAATATCTAAGCTATCACCTTTGGAGAAAATAAAACTTGTTATTGACAACAATATCCAATGAACAGTATGGATGGGAAATATATTCTGACTGGAGGTGAAGATGACTTGGTTCAAGTTTGGAGTATGGAAGATCGAAAGGTTGTGGCATGGGGTGAGGGGCCCAACTCATGGGTAAGATTCTTATCTTATAATGAAGGCTTATTTTTAGTTGTTGTGGATGACAATGGCTCTGTCCTTGGTGCTGACAGGTTAGTGGAGTGGCGTTTGATTCATATTGGTCATCACCCAATTCAGATGGCACAGGGGAGACTGTGATGTACCGGTTTGGTTCTGTTGGTCAGGTATGTAGATGTTGTTAGTCTGGTAAAAATAATGACTGTCTGAATTATTGTCCCTTCTATCTTGATGCGTTGTTTCTCCATGGTTCTTTCCTGTCCATGTATTTAGATTGTATTTATGTGGATTCTACTGTTAAGTTCCAAAAATGTCTAGCTTTTGAAAGTTATAGATACCTGACACTTGTGATAATGTGGTTGGAGCAACATTTCTAGATTTAGTGATTGCCTTCTTTTTCTACCTATGACAGTGGTTGCTGTTTCTAGGATGGAACAGAGGTGATATATGGCACATGGATCAAGTTTAGGTTGTAGAAAATATTTAGATTTTAAATGTATGAAACTATAGGTCTGCATCGGTTACCATACATTGTAGGTGACATAGTTTAGGTTCTTGTTTAAATAGCATCTTGAACAGCTAATATGATTAATATAATTTCTAGTTAGCATGCAAATGGGGAAAACTGAAGAACATGAGAAAAGCCAAAACATATTGGCAGAAAATCAGGGAATACTTCAAGAATATTCTCTGATGAATAGATGCCTTTCATTTTTATGGAAAGTCATAATTTCATACTAAAACATTTTGTGGTCAAGGAACATGGCTATGAATTTAGTTATTGTCATCTAATAATCTGTATTATTCCCTTGTTTTTTTTTTTTTAAAGAAAAAGCTATTCTACTTTGCAGCACCTGCAATATCCTTCACTTCTTATTATTGCCTTCTTCTGCGTAGGATACACAGTTGTTATTATGGGACCTGGAAATGGATGAAATTGTAGTGCCATTGCGTCGACCTCCAGGTGGATCTCCCACTTACAGCACTGGGAGCCAATCTTCCCACTGGGACAATGTATGCCCATTGGGTACCCTGCAACCTGCCCCAAGCATTCGAGATGTTCCAAAAATTTCACCAGTGGTTGCTCATCGAGTTCATACTGAACCCCTCTCGAGCTTGATTTTTACCCAGGAATCTGTACTTACTGTTTGTCGAGAGGGGCACATAAAAATCTGGATGAGACCCGGTGTTGCAGAAAGCCAATCAAGCAACAGTGAAACTGTGTTGAGTACCAGTTCCAAGGATAAACCATTACTTTCCAGCAAGATTGGCAGTTCTAGCTACAAACAATGACCAGACGATCATCGAAAGATGCAAGGCAAAGATCAAAGCTCTTTTATTTTTTCAGCTGGAGTTGCATTTCTATTTGCTAGTGTGGCCGTTCATTTCTCTTTATCCAGTTGGTTTTCTGAAAGTACAACCATGTGAACATAATTGAATTGCAATGAGATTAACCAACTGAATCCATTGAATATTCAAGGACAAAAATGCCATTGACGGCACAAAGAGTTCTGGAGGGAGAACGAACCTCCATTGTAAGTACAAACGGCTATTCCTAGAATATCTGACAGTGACTGGTATAACATGGAGTTGCTCCTTTAAGATTTGTAGTATTTTCTTAGAGGTGCATTTGAGTGATTATTTGTTATTGTTGATGCATCATCCCCATTACAGTATGATATTTGTTGCATATTCGAAAAACTGATGTTGAACACGCGGATGGCTTCGTGCACATGACTTCATGGGTTCTAGGTGACTGGACTTGGACAAGTTTGTCCTGAAATGAGACAGTTTTTATGCAGCCGAAGCTTTTCATTTTATACATGTTATTATAGATATGCTAACTTAATTGTCATTCCTACTTTCTAAGGCTCTTATTTCAGTTTCATTAGGGTGATGATCCGTATGACTTTGTTGTCCGGTTACCAGTGGTTGATCTGGCTGGGGAACATCATCAGAACCAAGCCGTTGATTTGATTCAGCATGCTGCCTTCTCACCCTCTTGAAACCTCATAAAGAATAGGGGTTCCACACATTGTGCTTTCAAACCCAACAAATGCAGAGCGAAGAACAGATTGTTAAACTTACCCGCAGCTGCTGAAGAAATCAAAAGGAAGCATGGCTTTCTGCGTAGCCAATGGCTGCTAGTGTACGGACTTGAGGTTTTTGAAATGAGACCCAAGGATGCCAGCATACGAGTCCAATGCCAAACCGGCGTTCCAGTAAGGATGAGAAAGGATTCTCATCACGTTTTCAAATTCACCCTAATTATCATATTCATATATAAGGAATTAGTAGCTGATCACGAATTTTCTTGAGATAGAGGGTGTAATAATAACTTATCTGCCTAAACAATGGAGCATTTGGAAAGTCAAAGAGTTTAATTGGCCAATTTGCTGATCTACCAATTTTCATCCATGATATTTTGATGTATGATAATCGAATTCATGGATCAAAACTTTTTAAGAGCATCCGTTAAAATTATCATTTTGAAACGGTACATTTAACCAAAATAGTAGCTTTTTCAAGTTGGGTCTTTAACTAGACATCTCGAATAGTTTTGTCTGTCCCAACTTTTTCCTTTGGGGCCCTGTCTCAACATATAGGTTATGTTGGACTAAATAAAAAAAAGTGAGGCCGGCCAGTAAGAACCCAAATAGGACGTAGGTAGGAGTTCGTAGTTTGAAATGCACTCATCACTGACGCTCTGAGCTGCTGGGCCAAGCCACGATGATGAACCAATATGGTAAGTCCAAAAACAGGTTTCTGTCTCTGGACAGACAAAGTGGACCCAATAAATCGTACTACGCCAGCCAGGCGCCCACTCCAATAAACAATAGAAGAAAAGTCGAAAATCATGTGGAGGGGTCCATAGCCCACGGGCTTTGTCAGATGATAATTGGTTGCAAGTCTCTCAGATATTGGCGAGTGTGCCAAATCCTTTCACATTTGAAGCTACCTGTGCTGCCACGTAATCCGAACATCAGGTCATCGAAGCATCTTCCTCTTGGCCCCACGCCCCACACTCTTTTTTTTTTGCTTAGCTGCTAGTGGTGTCGCTGTATATTATAGATCCAGATCTATCACGTTTTACTCGTCATTGATCGAGCAAATAAAGCATTAGCTACTTCTTCACTTTACTTCCACTCAAGCAAGGAAGCACCTCATAAAAAAAAAAAAACGCACTGACAGTTTTCTTTTTTTCCTGGCATTTTTCTTTGTTTCAATCAAAAGCTGAAAACCCAGATTGAGATTGAAGCTAATTCATCAAAGGATGTAATGTAGAGCAGTTAAAGATTGTGTCTTGGGGATGTTTCCAGGGGGCAAAATGGAGGAAACTTTGTTTGAAATGAAGCCAAGAAAAAGAGTTCCAATGAAGGTTTGGTTAACTGCTCAAAGATCAATGGGTCTCCTTGTGGGTGGAAATCACACATCCTCCAGGTTTTGCACTCGCTAAATTTGTTTTCTTGTTTTGTGTTGGGTTCAGTTTCTCTTGATTTCTCATTTTAGTTGATAAAAACAACGGTCTCTTTTATATCAAAGATTGGATCTGTCTTGCTGCCTATTGAGTTTGAAAGTGTTAAGACCATGGATTTTAAGACCTTTATGTTGATGATCCTTCATGGGTCTTTAGCTAGGCGTGTGCTTTTACGCGCTTTCATGCTTGCTGCTACTTTGTCAATTGTTCCTTTACTGCAAATCATATCTGGGGCACATCCAGAGATGTTGTATACCCTTTCTACCTCAGCAGACTGTGCCCTTGAACCTGGATCTTTAGGTCCATTTATGTTTCCAGGCACCATTTTGTTCTCCAAAGTTTGGGGTTCATTTGGATCGGTTCACTGCGAGGAAGATAGGAAGTTGACAACCAGCGTGGTTAGAGAGCTAATGGGAAAGCAAATGTTGAGTTACAGTGCAAAAGCTCTCTGTGTTGGTGAAGGCTCAGTGTCAGCTGTTGTGGCATTGAGAGACCTGGGATTCTCTGCTGTTACTGGGGTTTACAGGCACCCCTTTTTCTCTCTTAAGCATAAGAAGTTTGTTTATGAGCTTGATTATGAGGACAATTCTTATGATTTTGTGTTATCCAGGGATCTAGATAAGGTTTCTGTCCCAGCTCTTCTTGTGCTTGAGATTGAGCGTGTCCTTAGGCCCGGTGGAATTGGGGCTTTGCTCGTTGGTGTTAGTGGGTCAGACCCTACTAGCTTGATTAGGTCTGCTACTCCAGTTTCTTCGCTACTGAAAGCTTCCAGTGTTGTGCATGTTGATCATGTGAATGAGTTTACATTGGTTGTATTCAAAAAGAAACTGGAAAATACCACGTACTTTGAGCAGTATCGTCTTCCTGCCGATTGCCCATCTATGACAAACAACAAAGCTATATTGGATAATATTGAGCCTCTTTTGGAGGACAAACCAATTGGGTCTGAAAAAAGTATTGCTTATTTGCCCAAGTTTGTTAACGTATCTTCTAAGCAACGATTGGTCTATATTGATATTGGGGCGGGTGAGCATTTGACCTCCAATGTTACAAGTTGGTTCTTACCATCTTATCCTGTGGATTACAAAGCCTTTAATGTTTATTTCGTTGATCATAATACTTCGGTAATGCTATCCTATGTCAAAGGGCCTGGTATCAACTTTGTTTATCACCCAGGCCTTGCTGGAAATAGAGCTACAGCCAGTTCAGGAAATAAGGCTTCCACAGGTTCTGATATTGTTGATGATTTAGATCCATTTGTTGAAGATGAAGGGTTTGACTTTCTTCTCTGGTTTAAAGATACAGTACTATATGCAGACTTTGTGGTTCTGAAGATGAATGCAGGCGCAGTGGAGTTAAAACTTCTCTCAGATTTGTTTGAAAGTGGAATCATATGTTTCATTGATGAGCTTTTTCTTCACTGTCCAGACCGTGACGACAGCGGAGTGGTAAAGGGAGACTGCATGGACCTCTTCAAGGCCCTTAGAAGAACTGGTGTTTACGTCCATCAGTGGTGGGTAGATTAGAGAACCACCGATCTGGTGGACTCTTGTTTTAGGTACTGTATTGTTTGAGTCATGAGTCGTCGTCTATGTACTAGTACTGCTTGCGTGTGCTATTATTGTTGTCTACTTGTTATCGGTTGTTGTCATCTATCTTCCTCATCTCGTGTATTGATGTTGGGAGGAAATCAAGTTGCTTTTGTGGTTGAGCACTATACTAAATAAGCAACCACTGTAATCTCTAGTTTGCTGAATAAACTGTTGTGTGCTTACTGCTTAATTACTCACCTTTGTTTTGTTGAAATTAGTTTTTACTACACTAGAATTGTTGTCCTTTTATCTCCAGCTAATGTTGTTGAATGAAGAAGAGCCAATTAATGTTTGTCCTTACCTCTTAAAGATGCACAAGCCCGTTGGACATACAAATGCCTGTTGCCATGCTTGGGCAATTTTGAACCGGTTTGTGAGAGAATGAACAAGTCTACAAGGTGTGGCCCCATAAAAGAAACAGGCTAACTAAGCACATCCCTTTTTTTTAACGCGTAACGCAAAATGACAACGCGGAAAGTCCTTGTTTGCTGTCAGTTTTGAACTGATCATCCCAAAGAAATTAGGCAAAACAAAAACCCATGTTTTGTCGGCTGCATCACACCAATGACCTCGTTTAGACTTCCGTTTTACTGTACAGAAACCTGACAAAACTACTGTCACACTAAAATTGCCATGTACGTCCAGACCAGAGTCATGAAATTCAAGGCTGATGACTATTCTCAGGATTGATTTTAACAGGTTCCCCAAAAATTTAGACAGCCAGTTATACAGCTAAGTATCTATCCTAGAATGAGTTAATGTAAATTCTTCATTAGCATCTAAAAAAGTAAATGAAGTAGAACATGAAGCAAATTCATTTGCCATCTATTTCGCTAATATATTTTGTATGAAATTCGAGCAATTCATTCATACCATGTAGCATAATTGATTATAACTTCCTGTTTGATTATTGGAAACGCCTGAAATGTAAAACAAAAGAGAGGACAAAAGGGCAAATGAGAAGTGATAAGAGAAGGGGAAAAAAAAAAGACAACAACAAGCTACTATTATACAGGAAGATAGTCCAAGAAACATGTTCTCATCTTATTCATCAGGGCCATTGTTGACCTTTATCTCCAAAAGCCTCTCAACAGGTTGCCTACAAATTGGGCAGCGATTAGTCTGGCATCTCAAAACCTGCGCACATGAGCTGCACATACACTGCATAATAAACAACAAAATTGAATCAGTAATCAGCTAGAAGCATATAATATTTTCATTACTCCATTTCTCTGTCTTCTTTATGAAGGAAGATGAGGGGGCAAATGGTTTTGAAACTAAAAATTGGTTAAATCGACCATTCATGTGAGATCCACAACCACGATAACATTCTGTAATAGGCAAGTATTTCTGACTGTTGCAAAAGAAAACAAGTTATTACTAGCACGTGCAAGATTTATTCATTGGTTTAGGCCAACCGATTGGTCTCACCCTTGCTTTCTTGTCTATAAGGTTAATGTTGCAAAAGACCAAAGGAAAAGGGAACTGAAGAGAATAGAGTAAGTGACAGTGTTTACCATGTGTCTGCAGGGAAGAACAGTTGTGTCCCGAGGCTCTGAAAGGCAAATAACGCATTCTTTTCCAGGATCATTTGCATCAACATCATTATCAACTGAATTTCCAATTCCATATATTTCTTGCAGCTCATACCTCATCCCATTAACCCACAGAATCTGTTTCACTACTCTTGTCTGGTATTCACCCTTCTCCTTCTCAAACACAGCCTGGGTTATCTGAGAATTCATGGCTCCTGACACTTGGTTTCCATCTGATCCATTCTGATTGACAGGCAATGCATCTGCTTTCACTGCTAGATGATAGATACCCACCTCATCTACTTTCAGTAATTCTGACTCCTCAAACATAGCAAAATCAATCCCAGTTCCAGAGGGCTGCCTGAACTTCTGTCCTAGACCTTGTTCAAAAGGCACAGTTACTGGTGGTAGGACACTTTCCTTCATTGGTGTCAGATTGCAGTCTTCACCTTCTTTTGCAAAGAAAATAACAGTCATCCTGTTTGCAGAGCAAAGTTAAGAACTGTATCAGAGACACAACACTATTCACCTAAAAACTGAAACTCTACAATGGAGAGAAGAATGAAAGTGCAAAAGGAAAGGATGATTTGAAATGTCCTAGTACATTTTTACAAGAAATTCAGCCAGCTAATGCTTTCTATGTAAGTTGTGTTGAACTTCAACTAACCATTCGTGTTTCTTTTCTGTAATCTACTTCAAAGCTCCTTAAAACAAAAGCATAGAGCTCTCCATTCCGTCGTTTTACTCTAGTTTAGAAGTTCCTATATCTGATTACTAGGATGCAGAAATTTCACAAAATATCAACATCACTCTAGTTTTAATCACAATAAACCTATTGAAATTTTCACTATCAAGTAAAAAAGGAAAATCACAGAGCTTGCAATCTGACACACAGAGTGGGCGAGACCTCAAAACACCACTAATGTGATGAAACACCATTTCGTTAGTTTTCTTCCCTTTTCCTGTCATCTTGGCATCTAGTTTAAAGTATATTCAAAGTTTCAAATAACATACAAACAACCTAGTTCCTTAATCACAGTCAGACCCCATAGAAACAAGGCAACCTTAAAACCTCCAAACATAGCTGAGAAACTACAAAACCGATACTTAAAGAGTGAACAAAAAATATCCTAATAATCTTTCATTGAATTCCAAATAATCTCTATTCTTAGAATCACAGGGCAAACCTTGATCCCTCTAAAAATTGCATCTCTTCTCTGCAATTGTAAGACACTTATCCGTCTAATTTGACATGATTACATCTCAAGCTCTCCAAAAGAAAATAGCATTTAAAAATAATCACGTCAATTGTATCCTCAGAGCAAATTTTAATCAAAAGCAACCCATATTCACAGCTACAGCAACTAATTCTCATAGATAACAAAAACTTGAAAATTTAACCAAAAAGATAGAATTTTTATACCTTCCAGCAACGGTAGCATCGAACGTGAAAGAAACCAAGAACTTCCCAGGATTCTCCTCATCAGAGTCCAATTTCAAAGTTTCTTTCTTCAAATTAACGTCATTCCTTATCGTCACCGCCTTTTGATGCTCTATATGCGGCACCAGAGGCGGTGGCATCATTGGTCCGTAAGCATACCTACTCCAATTGGCGGGATCTATGTGGGGCCCACCCCGATTATGATGATCGTATGGAGCCCGAAGCGGCAATGGCACCGGCGGCTGAGGCGGATAGTAGCCAGGGTACTGGTAGTACTGGGGCGGGTTCGTGTTCGGGTATTGAGGCGGATACGGCGTGGCGGCGGCAAAGACATAACGATTGGCGGGGATTTCCGGTTGTGGCTGTGTTGGAGGAGGTGGCGGAGGGTGGTTTCGCCGGCTGCCATGCCTTCGCCGGCCATTTAATCCGCTACTTCCGATGTTCCCCATGAATTTTTTGCCGTTATTTGGAATATAAAAGGAAATATTTATAAAGGAAGGAATTTTATAACAAAATTGGATCCAATTTCATGTAAATATTTTTGCGTTTTCCTGTTTCTCCCTCAAAACCCAACAAAAAAAAAAAAGAAAGAAAAAAGTTGTTTGGGAGAGGAAGGAGAAGAGAAGAAACAAAAAGGGTTTGTTATATGTTCTGTTTTTCCTTTCGTTAGGGAAAGGGAAGCGAAGGGCGAGAGGAAGAGAAGGGAAAGATAAAGAAATAGAGAGAATCTTTGGATGGGTATAATGGGTTTGAGTAAAGCTCCACCCAAACCACCATTGACAGAGAGATGGAGATTGTGCTAAAGCAAACCGCCTTCTATAATGGGTTTACAGTACATTAGGGAAAGTACTTTGATGACAAAAATACCCCAACTTTGGTCGGTTTCAGATTGTATTCCCATGAAGAAGCACGTAGCAGATTAGTGGTCTGATTTAATCTTAGCTACGAAGTCATAGCAATAGGAACTCTGTTGTGGGCGGGAAGATTGTAGTAGGCTTTCACTTCTTTAGCTGGCTGTACTGGTTCAGACCCGTCCTAGGAGCTGTTTAGATCTTACAGCACATCCGTTGAGATTAAATTTATTGGATTGTCAGTTGAATATAAACGTTAATTTTAATAAAATTAAATTATATAAATTTTTTATTAAAATTTTTTAATTATAATTATAATAATTTTTTTTTTTTAATTTCATTATAATCAATTTAATTGATCATTCAAATAAAACCTAATAAATTCTCTTTGGAGTGTAGAAATATTAAATTCAATCATTTAAAAATGGACATAATTGGAGAACAATGTGTAAACGTTTCTGATAAAAGGAAATGGATCAAATCTCCACCTGGTGAAAGCTTCTGGTTATGTCAGAAATTTTGATGTATAATTTATTTCATTTTCAGTTTATATGTTTTCCAAGTCCAAGCCAGTCAAAGTTTGATCAAAATTGAAGGATTTTTATATGCCTTACAAGTGTTCTCCACTGCCCCCTTCAGCCTATCTCAGCGCAGGCCTGTTCCACAAATTTGAAGACTGCAGATACCCAATAACACCCTGCAATCAAGAAATTAAATATAATTTGCAAGAATCATGATTTTCTTTCTTGCTTTCTTTTCTAGAGGTTTATGATTTTCTTCTCTTTTTTTGACAAATAACAGTATTTGGGATCACAAATTCACAATCTTTTTGCTGGTTCACGGCCTCCCCTGCTGAAGTCATTCATAAACTGTGATACCTTACTAATAATAATATCAAAATCAAAGTCAAATTAATAATTGAATTTTCTGTATATAATGGCCTACCACATGTCCTTTGATAACGACTCTAATGGGAAATGGATGATGCCAGATAAAAGAGGAAAATTTAAAATAATTCCATTTCTTATGCAAATTTACTGTGCAGTTTTATATTGTCATAGGCTGAAATGACCACCGCCATTACAGTGTTGAGAGGCTGCTGAGTGCTTTAGGCCCCTGAATGTGACCAATCAAATTTTTTTTCTTTTTTTTTTTGTTAAAAAAATTCATTTGCCAATTTCGAACATTAAGATCCTGTCGGCAGGCAACTTGTAGTTCAAAGTTTCTTTAAAATTCTACTATTCTAATATTTTATTGCTTCAATTTTTCTAATCCATAGCCTGGAAAAGGCTTAAAAAACTGCAAAATGAAGCTTAGCCACATGATCCAAGGGCATGATCAGGACAGATTTGGAAGTGTTGCAACTGATCAAACTCTGAGATTGAATTTTATGAATAAAGCAAAAGGTTGATAGAATTTGCAATCTTCCCCCAGGGATGTTGGGTCATGACACCAAAGCAGCTAACTGCTTTGCCTGTTAAGATCAATAAACAATGAAAAAAAAAAAGAAAAGGGCCAACAGCTTGTCTGCATACTCTTGGATGATGGAACATAGCAATGCAATTAATACTAATAGCACACTATCATTTTATACTTAATTGTTTTACCTATCTTTCACTCCAAAATATTATAATTCTAGGTAAATCACAGCAATGAAATCATTGTGTTGACCTCTGGGCAGTGACAATCAAAATATGTATGTTCTCTTCTCAATGAAAAAGGGTTTAACAGGTCAAAACCACGTGGTTTATTGATCAAATTAATAGTGTTAAATTTATAATTTTTTTATGATTTTAAGTACCAGCACAAATCACAATGACATTTTATGTTGAGAAAAACAGATTGTTTCGCTTTCACCTCCAAAACTTGACCTGTTTAGCTTTTCTTTCTCTTGATAATGTTCACATTTATTAGTGTATCTTTTATTTGTCATTAGTTAGTGTTTTTCCATTTGGTGCCAGCCTTGGTCCTCCAGCCTGGTCATGAAGACAAGCTTGGCACTTTCTGTTTGCAATTGCGGAGGGACGTATAAGCCAATCAAATTACCTATAAAACGGCCAAATTTCCAGTTAGTAAAACTTTTCAAGCCCTTCTACTTGTATTCCAATTAGTCAACAAGTTCAAACCTAACATCTTTAATCTCGCTTAATAAAACCCAACAAAAAAATATTTTTAAATTTGTACACTGCTTGTTGATTTATTTGGCCCCTTTAAGCTTATAAAAAATTTTGTGAATATTTTGTTCATTTATTTTTTTATTTTTACCTTTTTTTTTTTTATAAAAGTATACAAATAAATAATGAAAAAATCAAAATCAAGAATTACTTAAAATATGTCATGCATTCATTTCATATTTGTGCATTTTTTGCATTTCAATTTCCAAAAAGTAAAAGTAAAATTAACAACAAATTATAATTTAAGCTAAAATATTAAAAAAATCTATAAACTATTTCACATGCTTAAATTAACCCTTACACTTTTATTGTAAATCTTTATTTTTTTTATTTGTATATGAATAAACTCTTATTTCAAATAAAAAATTTTATTTATATTAAAAACTTATTTAGATATAAAATAAAGGTTAAATGTGTGTTTATATACAAACTAAAAGTTATGAATTTATTTGGATGTAAATTAAAATTTAAGGGTTTATTTGAGTGTAATAAAAATATAAAAATTTATTTAAATGAAATGATAAAATTCAGAAACTTTTTTTTTTTATTTCAGCCTATGATTTATTTATGAGCTTATTTGTGATTCCTTCATTTAAGAAGTTATTTTAAAATGGTTAAAGATAATAAAAACAGCAACTATAGGCTTTTGTTTACTTTTTATTTAATAAAAAGGTCCTTTTAATTTTGATTATATATATATTATTTATTTATTTAAATCTTAATAATTAAAAACTAAAAGCTCAAGCTGGCAAAATTTTTAATTATATATATAAGCTTCATATTAGAAAATGAAGTAAATAAATATGAACATAGTTCTTCATTAAATAAGCTTGAAAACAATGACTTGAATTGTAGTACTTTGTAAGGCACTTTGAACTCAACTGTTTTTAGCAACTTATTGAGCCAAGATGGATTCAACAATTTCTCGAATCAGTAATAAAATTGAATTCAAAATTTGGGATTTTTTTATGTTGAATACTCTAGTTTGACACTTTCTCTCTCTCTCCTTTTTTTTTTTTTTTGAAATTAAATAAAGCTTTGATATTTGACATGTTTTAATAAATAGAATAAGCTGTCAAACCCAATTTTCTTTTTACACTTAAAGTTAGAAGGCAGTCAAGCTAGTTTCAAAGTAGCTATTATGACCGAAAAATTGAATTAAGCTCTTGAACCAGTCAGGCTAAAGGCTAAGGGCAGGAGGAATCCTAGCAAGGTTTGGATTAGAATCCTGGATTACTTACCAATGTTTGTTTCCCCAATGACATTATCTGACCATGTACAAAACCAGTTCATGGTTTCTTGTCTGTGTAATATCCTAGCCCAAATAATAATTGAGCTAAACTAATACTAAAGTCCATAAATTTATTAAGATATTATTTAGTAAAAAAAAAAAGGTTGAAGTATTAGATGAAAAAAAATTTAATTATCGTGAAACAAAAAAGAAATAAAATTCTTCTTCCTCTTCTTTAGGGTTAGAGAATATGAAAAATCAAGTTGGAGATTCACAATCAGAGGCTACAATCAAGTTAATCCCTTAAAGTGAGTACATGTCATCTTTTTATTTGAAAAGAAATATCAAGTTGATTACTATTATTTGGAGTTGAAATTTTGAGAAAAAAACCAAGAAAAATCATGAAATCCTTCATTAATCTTGATGATCTATTTTGGTAAATTACTAAGCTTTATTTATTTCATGTTCTTAAGATTTATTGATGATTATTGAATGGAGTTTGAAGACTGAAAGTAAAGATTTGAGTTTTTAAAGATTTAAGGAAAAATTTTATTTTTGGATGAGATGTTGTGACCTGTAATAATAAATTGAAATTGAATTTTATATTAATGGATAGATTATTGCTGTAATTATTATATATCATTGGAAAGCATGTTGAATCTAGTTTCTAATGAAACAAACGAAAGTCAAATTCGAGTTTTTTATGAAGAGTTGTCTAATTTTAACTTAAGGATATACAGGCTGTAAGACAGCAGCATTAGGGTTGAATTTCGAAATTTTCCTTAATTTGTATACAAGGATTTACAGATTAAGCCATATATGTTTAGAAAGCTTATTGAGTCTACTTTTCAATGAAACAAGCGGAATTGAATTTAGAGTTTCCTATGAATAAATGTATAGTTTTTATTAAAATGTATACAGGCTGTTTGGCAGCAGTATATGACGTAGATTTCAAAAATTGTTATAATTAATCTACAAGGAATTACGAGGTGTGCCATATATGGTTAGAAAGCTTATCAAGTCTAGTTTTTAACGCATTAAAGAGATCATAATTCCGATTTGGATATGTTGAGATATGACTATTTTAATGAAAAGACGTCAGGCTGTCAGTATTAATTAGTTAAGTTAACCCTTTGTGTAACTTAGTTGATTTTTGTATAAATGGTCTCAAAAAGGGTTGATTAAATTCTGATATGTTGAAATGATCTTGGATAGGCCATTAATTATTTTGGGAGAAAAACTAAGTGGTGGAATCGAATGGAGGTAAGTAAAATATCACACACTTTGCTTGTTTTCGAATCTATGTATATATATATATATGTTTCTAAATGAAATAATGTTTTATATCTTTATTTTCAATGTATGAAAATAGGATCAAGCATATGATTATTTTGTGTTTCTCTATATAAATGATGGATCATGCTTATGAATGAAATGAAAAAATGATTTATGTTTAAAGAATAATTTTATGATAGCTACATTTTTATATCCCTGAAAAGTGGGATCATCGACACCAGAACTAGTTCTACGACCATGGCTAACGGATAATAGTAGTTAGCAAAGACATGATCATACGACCTTGACTAACGGATAATAGTAGTTAGCGTAAGCCCTGGCTAACGGGTTATAATAGTTAGCAATGATCATGAGAATGAAATTATCGATACGGCCAATATCACGGGTTATAACAGTGACCGTAGCTAACGATTTGAATGATAATGATGATTTATGATAATGATGATTTGCAATGATTTTTAATGATTGATCCATGATTTGGTTTGATTATGATATTTGAATGATAAGATATTTTGTAATGATTTATGAAGTGATATATTTTGACATTGATTTATGAATTTATGAAATATTTGACAAAACGATGATCTTGAAATGTTTTGATATTATGATTTGATAAGTTTTGAATTATCTATATGATGTGTAAGAAAACGATACTTGATCTAGTAAGGTGTGTGAGCCTATACTTACTGAGTTGTGGTTTGCTCATTCTCCTTTTACTTTTTCTTTACAGATGACTAAGTGATAAATTTGGTTAGTCTTGTGTGAAGTTAGAAGATGAAATGGGTAAGATTACTTAATCGTCGGAGAATATGTTGACCAATGAGATCTTAAAAGATAATTTTGTATTTTATATGGTTTGTATTTGGATATATAGAGATATATTATCAGTTGGATTAAAGATATAAATTTTACTTGATAAATTATTTTATTAAAAAATTTTAAAATATTTAAAAAAAAAGGCTTCATATTATTTTAGATTTTTTTCAAAATAATATGACTGTATTACGTCTTGATTTCGAGACGTGATAGCCTGCCTTTGAGGTTTGACTTCTGTTTAGATCACACCATCAATACGAATTCATTCTTGGGGTACAGAAATGAATTCTCTTGCGCACGACACCCTCATTGAAATTTTGAAATTTTGAAATTTTATTCACGAGACTTTCTCTAGGGATTCCGTGTAATTATTACTGAAACATTGACATTTTGAAATCTAATCAACAATTTTAAAAAAAATGAAGAAGAAAATATGTATGAACTAATCAGGAATATGACTTCAATTAACAGTCTCGGCCGGCATTTTATTCTGGACGTTTAGCTGGGTTTGGCTCTTTCCTGGCAATATCCTTTTGTAATTGTAGTAGTGATTAGTCAATTACATAAGTAGACGAATTTTATAATTATTTTATCATACTAAAAATTATGTAAAAATTTATTACGTATAAATATAAATTTTATATAAAATTTTGATGAATTTCATATTATTTTAAATTGTAATTGATTAATTATAGGCGGGTGCAATTAGATATTAGGTCTCCATTGGTGGGTTGATGCATATGGATCTTCTTTTTCCTGTTTCAAGCTTGAAAAAGTAAGTTGATATTTCTCAGATTTTACATGCGTATGAAATGAGATAAAAAAAATGGAGGGATAAACTTATTGTAGTTAGTTGAATCTACAGCCCAACCGAACCCAACTTGTTTCTTGTCTATTATGTTCAACTTAATTTTTTATTAGTAGTTTCTAAATTTGTCCTGGAGAAGGATTCCAAATTCTTAGTTTTAAAAAGTCAAAATCCATAGCCATAAAAGCTTGTGTTCTCATTTCTCTTCCATTTTATGTACTCAAGTACTTGTGTTCTTTCCTTCCTCCGTTTAGCTGATACTTGTCTCCAAGTAACGTAGACATTGACATCTTGAATTGAGCTTTCTGAACAAAAGAAAAAAAGGCAAAATTCGAGGTTCCCACTTTCCAGGCAGACCGAAGACATGAAGTTCAGTTCCTGTTTCTCAAATTGTTTTTCTTCTGCATCAGAAACCCCCATCGATATAGGAAGAGCGGGTAAATGTTGGGTGTTTATCTCTTTCTTGTACCTTTGACTATTTTGTTCTGATGCAAAGATTAAGATTTTGGTGTCCAACATTGAATTTTCTTCAGTATTCAACATTAGTCGTTTTTTTTTTTTTTTTCTTTCTGCATATACAGAAATCGAAGGAGAAAATTATCAGAATTTTACTGTCTTCTCTTATAGTGAGCTGAAAGTTGCCACTAATGGGTTCTCTGCTTCAAACAAGATCGGAGAAGGTGCCTTTGGCTCTGTCTACAAGGTTACTTCTTTGCCTTGAACAGAAAATTCTGGTTAATTTTCTTAAACAAATGCTGATGTAAGTTTCGGTTTTGGCTTGTAGGGCTTGCTTAGAGATGGTACTAATGTGGCTATAAAAATGCTTTCAGTTGAACTCGAATCGATGCGTGGGGAAAGAGAGTTTGTATCTGAAATAATTTCACTTGCCAATCTTAAACATGAAAACCTCGTTACACTTAAGGGGTGCTGCGTGGATGGAGCTAATAGATTCTTGGTTTACAATTACATGGAAAATAATAGTCTGGCGCAGATCTTACTAGGTAAAAGTTTGTTTATCAATCTGATAATAAAGAAAGTCAATTGATGTATTAAACAATGTACAATGCCCAGAATTCATCAGATACTGAACAAATAAATAGATTTTTATCAGACAATTTTGGTTGCTATGTGTTCTTGATTAATAGGCGGAGAGCAAAACAGGATGAAACTTGGTTGGGAAGCAAGGCGAACTATTTCATTAGGAGTGGCACGAGGGCTTGCCTATCTTCACGAGGAAGTTGAGCCTCACATTGTGCACAGAGATATTAAAGCTAGTAACATACTTCTGGATCAGAATTTGATACCAAAAGTTTCAGATTTCGGGCTTTCGAGAATTCTAAGAGACAATGCTTCTCATATTAGTACCCATGTTGCTGGCACATTGTAAGTGAAATTTGCTGGTTCTTCCCATTACCTTCATGAATATCTCTTCTGTGGTTGAATTTATACTCCTTGAAGTACCATGGCTAATGGAATTTCTTGCAATGGCAAAATGAGATAGAGGCTATCTTGCTCCAGAATATGCCATCAGTGGACGTTTGACACGAAAAACAGATGTTTACAGTTTTGGGGTACTACTTCTGGAAATTATCAGCGGGCAGACAGTTGTAAATTTTGATTTAGAGCATGGTGAACATTACCTGGTTCAAAAGGTACTGTTATTCATGAATCCAACATTGATGCAGGAAACCTAAAGCTTTCAATTCATTTTCAGCATATATTCATATATTCTCCAGACAGTAAATTACTAGCATGTTGACTTTATGTGTGCAAACCTGCAGGCTTGGGAAATCTACAGGGCTAACAGCCTTCTGCAACTGGTGGATCCTACAGTACGTATGAACTACCCTGAAGAAGAAGCGGTTCGATTCATCAAGGTGGGTCTCCTGTGCGTTCAAGAAACAGCCAGGCTCCGACCAGAAATGCCAATTGCCCTAAAAATGTTGACTAATGACGTCGACATCGAAGGAGTTCAGATATCTCAACCTGGTCTTGTTGCTGATCTGATGAATATCAAGTTAGGACAAAAGACCACATTTCCTTGTTCATATTCTTGACTTGCTGGCTCTATTATTCTTTTGGGGTTGTTTTTTTTTTTTTGGGGGGGGGGGGGGGCGCGGGGGGCTGCTGGGGGGGGTCTCAACAGAGAAGTAAAGGAATTAGGATAGGGAAACTAATGAATGTTTTGGAAACTATTAGAACAGTTCCAAGACAGTCCCGAAAATATTGTACACAGAAAAAAAAAAAAATGACAATTTTTCAACATTTACATTTTTTTCTCAGGTCAAAATAAGCATATTGTAGTTTGCTAGTTGAATTTTTCAATATCTGTAGCTTTCTTGTATCTCTTTCAGATTTACCTTGCTAATTTAGTAAGAAATAAATGTTGTAAGAACCAGAGAGCCTATTAAGTCAGTGGATATCTATGTCCAAGATTGTGAGCTGTGACTCATTTTCATACCTTGGAAATGAGGAAAATAGAAATTGGTGTAGCCCAGGCATCAGAATTCTCCCTTCTTCAGTATAAGATAAGAAAAGAACCGGTCACAAGCAAAAATAAAGAACAAATCCAAGAGTTCTCAGAAGATTTTACCTGAGTCCTTTAAGTCTTGCGAAGTTTTCAGAGGGTTATGACTAAAGCTTATTTTATTAGGGAAATCCAAATCTCTGTTGCAAATTAGATTGACCAGAGAATGAAATCCACCCTCTTATCATCTTTCAATCGGTTAAGCCAGCAGCATGCATGCATGGCTCCTCGCATGCCATTCACGAAGGTCACCGGACTCTTGATGGGCTTTGCAAATGGCATACAGGGAGCCAGGCATACAAAATACGCATTCAATATATGGTTAGTACAAGCTAAAATGATTCCATGAATACGAAAATGAGTGGATGCATAAATATCTCTCTATATATAGTTTGAGGTCCTTAAATATAAACTTCATGTTACTTTTAAGTTCCAAAACCAATGATGACGACGCTTGAACAGTGGTAACTATGACTATCCGTATATATATACTGACTATGACTTGAGAACTGTCAAGTGAAAATGAAAAAGAAATCTATTCATGTTAGAAGCTGCATCAGAGAAAGGAGGCAAGGAGCTGTATATATCGAAGAAAAAGAGTCATCTTGTCAAAAGAAAGGAAAAAAAGGGAGATATCTAGGATGAACTTCTAATCAGTCATAATCAAGTTGGTTTCAAGGTGACTACCTCCATACCTCCCTTTTTCCCCCTTTGCTTTCCCTAGGAACATACCTCCCTTGCTTTTGAGTCAATTTGGCATATAGCTAACACAAACTCAAGGCATATCATTCGACCTGAAAGGCCACCTCTTTTCCTGCTTTTCTCTCTAAACATAGTGAAGGTAGTAGGGTTTTTGTGTGAATTCGAGTAAGAAGGTAACTGTAGGTTGGAGAGAAAGAAAGAGAGAAGAGGTAGGCAACAGAGTAACACTTACTGAGCCTTATTGTTTGGTTTTTGGGATCCTTTTTTCCTCTTTTCTATTCATAAAGCAGAGGTTCTTTGCACTAACATTGAAACTGATTTGTCTAGGAGTGCTTGGATGACTTGGATTCCATACCTATACACCTGGTGTTCAAACAACATCTCCCTCCCCTCTCTCAATCTCTCTCATGCCTCTCATGTACCTTTGTCCCATCTTCTTCTCTACAGCTTTCCCCTGATTTCCCTACCCATAAATTCACAGTGGGGCCAAAAGTCGACCAAACCGGGCTTGAACTCTCTCTTTGCTCAGATTCTGCTTTCTCTGTGGCTCTTTGTGACAACCAATATGTATTGGTGAAACTTGCCATCCCAGGCATGGGGTTCTAATTCAAAACTAAGAACATGTAAAATTAACAATTCGGTTGTACAGACATCAGACTGTTCAAGTCATTCAAATAGTGCCAAAATAATTGCAGTAAAGCCGAAGTGAAATGATAGAGATAAAGACCTTAGGCAAAAAAAGAAAAAATGATGAAATGAAAAGGTAAAATGCTCATAACCATGTCTGTTATAGCTGAGTGTAGCAATATTTATTTATATCTATTACTGCTGATAACAAGAGGCAAACCAACACCATGATAGTCTTTTTGGTCTACCCAAACCTTGGGACAGGTTTTGCTCCTTATGAAATTTCAAAGCATAGCTAGCAGAAGATAATTTTATCTACAGCATAACTTAGATGACAGTTTTTACTTTCAGCACATTGATGATGACATTGATTGGATGATATGGTATTCATTGCTTGTTTATGTTTGTGGTTGCGGAATGAAATATATGTTCCTAGCTGATAGGTTGACAATTTGACATATTCAATGAAGCTGAGAATTGATGAAATAAACAATGTTATCATACCAAAATCAAATACTTCCATTTCCCTAAAAAAAAACTAAGTTCATCACAAGCACTCTTACTAGGAACTTGAACATGATACAGGGAGGAATAGCCGTCGAATGTGCTACATGGAAGGCCGAAATTATTGTATGAACATCCATAACTAAAAAAAATGTAGAGTTGAAAAGAAAATGTGGATATTAAGCAATACATTGCATCTCATTTTCATGTACAAGAAGTTGATTTACAGTTCCAAATAGCTACGCACATTGCTAATCTGTTCATTAGATTTGCACAAAAATTAGGGGAGGCAAGATCACAAGACCAGTCCGTCCTTCACAATTTGCAGCAACAAATTTACCATATCTGACATAGTAGGACGCTCCCTAGGATTTTCTCTAACAGACAACTCAGCTATATCTGCCAATTTAAGCAAAGGCTCAACGTTTCTAGGAAGAGCTACGTAGCAATCAATGATGGAAGCTGCCTTACCCTGTTTAATTAAGGGAACTGCCCATTCAACTATACTCGGAGGTGTATAATCTCTGTCATAAGCTTTCCTTCCAGTGAGAATCTCCAACAAAACAATGCCAAAGCTGTAAACATCACTTTTCATGTCTCCACTAAGATCAAGATCCCTCTCACTTGATGTAAGAAGTCCAAAATCTGCAATTCTTGCTCCCCAATCTGAATCCAAAAGAATGTTTGAACTCTTGATGTCCCGATGGGCAATGGGAGGCACAACTTCCTTGTGAAGGTACTCAAGTCCCCTCGCAGCCTGCAATGAGATCTTCAAACGAAGGCTCCAACTCAGGGGAGAAAGCCCTCCATGAAGGTGGTCGTGAAGTGTACCACGCGGCATATATTCATACACAAGCAGTCTCTCCCCCATCTCTGAACAGTAACCTAGCAAATTCACAATATTGCAATGTCTCACATTGCAAAGGATTTCAAGTTCCATCTCAAAGTCACGATTGTTGGTGTGGATTATGGTGGCAGCATTCGCCCTCTTGACAGCAACTTGCCTGCCATCTGTTAGCACAGCCTTGTAAACAAAACCGTAACTTCCCCTACCTAGCTCATTGAACTCCTTGAAACCATTAGTGGCATCTTTTAGCTCTGAAAGTCGGAAAATTTGAGCTGTCCCTGGGCAAGGAGTGATAGAAAGAGGAGGGAATGGCTTAGCAGTGGTATCAGCATCCAACTCTGGTTTGCCTACGCAAGACTTAAATTGTTTTTTTGTCCCTTCTTCCCTTTTAGTAGCAAAAACACGTGGAAGAAAACACCAGCTAAGTAATATCAGCAAAAAACCTGTAGCACAAGAACCAACTATAAGCACTAGTCTAAGCAGGTGATGCCGGTGCTTCTCTGGAGATGATTGGAGCCCACAAATATCCCAACAAGAACTGTTTTGGCAAAGAGAGCAAGCTGTGCATATTCTGTCAGCATTCCTAGTGCATGAACTAGACAAGAAGAAACCTTCGGAGCAGTTTGATCCACAAGGTGAACAAATCTGCAAATCTCTCCTAACACACAAGCTATTCAAATTTGGCTCATTTAGAATACTTGCATTGAAAGCAAACTCCCCTTCACTGCAGGAAGTAGAGCGACAAAGACCAGGGCTGCACAATTCCAGTGGAGGATTATAATCTGGTTGCAAGAAGGCATTTATAGACCAACAATCCAAAACCAAATCATCTTCCCTGATACCGCATGTAGTGAAGTCAGATGAAGCAAATGCCATAAATCCAGAACGCTTTGGAACCGAAGAAAAATTGAAATTGCCCCAACATTCCACCCCATGATTATCCTCTCGAATCCCACAAAAATGATGGGCACCTGCTGTCAACGACACGAAACGGAGCCCAACAGGAGGATTTGAAAATGAGGCAGAATCACCCCAGCATTTCACCTCACCAGATGAATCCAGGATGCCACAGATAGAGCCTTTTGCTGAAGCTAAAACTAAAAAACTGTCGGAAACATTGGAAACCCCTAAAATAGCGGCATTTGGTCCCCAACAAACAAGCCCTCCTTCTCTAATCCCACCGCAGCTAAACCCTTCGCCAGAAACAATATTTTTAAAAGCAAGACTACTAATACTCGGATCATAAAACAGAATACTCTGTTTTGAACTTAAAGTGTTGTTAGAACTCTTTACAATATCCCAACAATCAACGATACCGGATTCATGATCAGAAAAATAATCCCCTCTAATTCCACAAACATGATTCTTTCCAGCAGCTATATAAGAATAAGCCATGGTCTTATAATTTGAACGACCAAGATCCATACCTGACGCCATCAGGCTCCAACAAAAAACTTGAGAAGTGTTAGCTAAGATGCCACAAAGGAAACCTTCGCCACCTGAGAGAGCTGCCATTGGAGGAACTTGAGAAGTAGAGTCCAAGGATGATAGTGAGGATGAAGTAGTAGTAGTAGGAGAAGAGGAAGATAAAGAAGAGCTACTGTTTTTGCTCCAACATATAACTTCCTGTTTCCCGCTGGCATCAATGGCACAGAAGAATCCGTTGTCGCCGAACGCGGCGGAGATGGGACCCATTGATCCGAACCCAGATGCGGAAATGGCGGAAATGAGGAGGAGGAGAAGGAGAAACATGGCTGTTTTGAGGATTTGCATGGCGGGTCTTTGTTGTTCTTGTTGTCGTCGTTGTCCTCTTCTTCTTGTTTGTTGTCATGGAATTGAAATGGAAATGGATAGTTCTTTGTTTGAACTTGAAGCGAGTAATAGAAAGAGAACGAGATAGTTGTTGAGGTTGGTGATAACGAAAGAACGTGGGTATCGCTATTTTTTTCCCCTTTTGTTTGTTTCCTTTTTTTACTGTGTTCGGTGGTTCGGACCGTTAATGTTTCGAAACTACTAAGGTATTCAAGTTGTCCAAATTAACTGTCAGTTAGGGTCACTTTTACTCTTCAATCTCTGAATGAACAAAAGATTTATATTTGACATACATTTCATTTACCATTCTCCTGATTTAGCTTTCTTTCCCTTCTGCATTTTTTACGTGAGACAATTTGGCATCAAACAATATAGGATGTGCCATTACTAAATGCAAAACAGAGAGCATTACTTTGGATTATGGAAACAACCAAGCAATGAATGAGAACCACCATCCTCCTTTTTCTTAATCATAGAAATTTTAATTAAAAAAAAATTTCACAAAATTTTATTACCATTTGCTACTCATGCTTTTCTTTCCCACTCCCACAATAAGAAGACAAAAGTACAACCAAGAAAGTAAGACTGCAAGTTTAATCCACTTCAGGATAACTTCTTTTCTATTTCTTTTCACAATTTTATTACATGTTGTGATAACTAAATGTCCAATCGCCTTGCTTAGTCGGCTTATTAATAACTTGTCGACCCATATTAATTTTTTAGTATTTAAAATTGTCCGGATCTGAATATCAATTACTGAGTTTTTATTGATTTTATTTTTTGTAAATTATGAAAAAGAAGCATAAGATTGAGAATGTGAGAAGTAAATACTTAACAAGAGGAAGCCTGAAACACAAGAAGAACTGCAATCAGACGGCAAAATTATGCTTAGAATTGAATGTGTCAGCGTAAAATTTATTGCTGGCAAATAAATGGAGAGGCAGCAAGGGAGGGGCTATTTCAGAATTCTGAAAACAACAAGGAACCATTACAAACTTGAATGCTCGAAAATCAATTTTCAATTTGGAATTTTGTTTGTTGGGTGTCACTGTAATTCAGTGTCATTTGTGCGCTTGCTGCCAAACCATCCTAGAAATTATAAACAGCCGATCATATCACGTGGTTGCTTGGCCAGCATTCCTGGCATTTTACTGCTAAACGATTATATAGTCAACCTGAATCTCTTTGAGCTATTCCAAATTCCAGAGTCATTAAACCACAATTGGGGTACCCAAATCTCCTAAAAATCTAATCCTATTGGTCTATATATTTGTAGATACATTACCCCCCCCCCCCCCAAAGACCAAATATTTGCATAGGATCCATCTTATTCCTTTTATATTCAGAAATCAATTTTGAGAAGATTAATTCTTAAGTCAAATGTCATTCCTACAATCCAATGTGATTAAATCTGAAGCCCGATTATGAAAGAAAGAATATATGAAGGAAGAAAATTAGGACCCCACACTTTCATTATGGAAATGGAAAGTTTGATTTCGAAGAAGATTTTGGTGTGCAAGTAGGGTCACTGTCTGGTGATATTGAAGCCATACTATTGTGTCAAAATGTATAAATATATAAATATGCAGGGTGGTAGCTCCACCATCAAGGATAAAGGTACATAGAAGAAGTGGACCCAGTTTGTTCAGGCGGACTCTGATCAGTGCATGTGGACTGTCGGGGAAAATGATTTTGCTTGGAACTCACCATAGATTTTGTTTGCTTGTTTAAAATGTTAAATGGTACTTTGTTTTCAATGTACTTTATATCAATACTTGAACAAGTTGCTTTTTTTTTTTTTTTGGTGGCAGTGGCTGTGAAACCGTAGAAGGAATCAAAACAAATAATTTCTCTTTGAGTTCATTTGGATGTATGTCTAATTTTGCTTTAGTTTCTTCCAGAATCACTGCCTTAGTTACAGATACTGCAATTACTAATAATGTAGCTATAGAGGAATCAGATCTCAACCATGAGTTTAGGTTCAGAAATAATGACATTAAGTGAACATAACAATGCAACTATTACAGCATGCTGATGCAGGAGGCCTCCGAAAAAACAAACCAAGTTTAAAAAAAAAAAAAGACCAGTATAACAGATTTTGAATGTTTGCCATGTCTAAGGGGCTTAATTCTTCACAGTTGTTACATGCTTGAGAAGCATTTGGACGACATCATCTGAAATTCTTGCAGCCTCATTTTTCAGGTGGTGAATCTTTGCTTCAGTCTCTTGCTCAAGCCGCTTCACATTAGCACCTGAATCTCCACTGCTCTGTTTGATGACCACATAACACATGAAAAGAGAGAGTTAACAAATTTATAAAGAACTTAACAGCTGAAACCTATCTTGAAAATGGCTTAAGAGAATAAATTGATGCTATCAACATGCAGGGTGAGAACAGTTGCTTCCAATCCTCTCTAACAATCTCAAGGGACATATGAAGAGACACTTTACAAGCTACAAGAAGAATAGTCAGAATGCTTGACTCTTATCAACCCTCAAGAAGTATTTACCTCAGCCACTTTCCTCTGGAACTCTTTCTCCACTTGAGCACGGTATTCAGCAATCTCTTTTTCAGCCTCTTCCTTGGCTTGTTTCAGCCTAGCCATTTTTGCTAAAGGTATAAATTCAGAAAACAAATAACTAAGGGAAACTACTTCAGAGCTCAAAATGCAAAAATATAATAATGAACCAAAAAACATTTCCTCAGACCATATACTTCTAGAATCCTAAAACCCATACGTGCAGAAGCAAGTACATGCAAGTGAAAGCACCTATGTCTGTAAATAACGAGATGCAAACATACAGGCAGAATACCACAAGAAAAAATGATACAGCCAACTCTTCCATAGAAGACATGAAGAGGACAACTTTTCTTTCTCCTTTTAAATATCAGTTATATGGGAAGAAAGTCTCATATATTCACAGTTTCACACCAATTCATGCAGGCATGGTTGACATACAAATGAACAAAAATAGATATCAACCTATGAGATTAAACCCAGACAAATCACTTCAAATGGTCCAATCGGTAAATCTGTCATGAATAAGGAAAAGAATGGTTACCATTTCTGGCAGCATTGACAATGTGCTGAGCTTCTTGTTCTGCAGCAAGCAACTGCTGGATTCCGCCTTGACCCCTATTGACTTCCATGTTCTCCTAAAATGCCAAAACTAACTTTCAAGAACAAGATTGACTATAACAGTATAATTGCAAGTCTGGAAATCCAAGAAAACCTCACTTGTAAGTCATAGCAATTAAGGCACTTTGAGGTCGGAGAAAAAGTTTAAAATTTGGAGCACATGACGTCAATAACCCCAACAGGTTAAACTAACTGCAAACTCGAAAGTTCATCACTATAGCCTTAATGTCAAAAAAGAATAATTATTTCAGGTTTATCAGACTTGTTTGATGGTGTTGAGTAAAACTATTATGGAACTACGCCAATTATATTGTTAAACTTAACAAAAGCAAACTTATAGGTTTATAGCTATAAAGTGTGATGTTAAGTTCTCAACAGAAAGGGGCATCATCAACTGAATTTTCCCAGAAAATCCAGTCTTAACTCTGATTTGACACTTTAGTAGAAATTTCTTGTTGGGCCCTGAAATTCCATTTCAATAGAAGAACTATAGCTCCATTTGCAAAAGGGTCACGAGCAAGATGCAAACTTTAACCTCAAAGAAACAAGTAAGATTCAAATCTTCATAAGATACAAGAGAAAAACTAAAATTATTTCTTAGATTAAAGATATTTCCTCAAATCCCTAACATCTTATATTTTATAATAGCTAAAAGGCTTTTTTTTCCTAAAAATCCACACGATTTCAGTTAGAAGAACAAAATACTTGGAATGAGATCTAAAAGGAACCCACCAACCAAAATCATAAGAATTGAACTGCAAAGAATAAAAAAAAAAAGTTCTCTGCTTTTCTACTTGGTTTGATCTTTCACAGAATTTTATTCACTCCAATAAACAACAGAATGCAAAGTTTCGATCTTTTGGCAAGGCAGAGAGTAAATTAAAAACCCATATGAATGAAATATAATGAAGATAATGAAAAAAGAATCAATTATAAGAGAAATTTTGGGTTACCTTAAGAAAGTCTCAATTTTTTTGTCTGAAGATTTCAATGGAAAACTGAAGGACGCTTGTTTGACTGATGCAGGTAAGGAAAAACTATCACTAGCACAAAGGGAGCTTATAAAACGATGTCGTCTAGGAGAATATTTTCTTAATTGTTTCATGTATTTTATTTTTTTAGAGAAAACAAGTACGCACTTAAATTTCTGTGAAGACTGAATTAATATATGAATTGCCATTGTTTTATATTATATTAAATAATTTATGTACTTAAATTGCTGTGAAGCCTTTATTAATACTTGAATTGTTAGTGATTAATTGTTAGATTTTAATGTTTGATCTACTTGTTGTCAAGAACATGTCACATAAATTAATTGTAATATAATTAATTAAATTTAAAATTGTGAGAAACTATCAAAGTTTTTACTACAATAATATAATTATTTAATTATAATAAAAAATTATGTAAAAATTTATCATTTATAAGTGTAATTTTTTTTATAAAATTTTGATAATTTTTATATAATTTTAACTAATAATTGATTAATTATATTATAATAATTATAAGTGAAATGTTACCTTGCCCCTTGTTTTTCTAATTTTGATCAGGAAAATATTTAATTGATAAAATTGCCAATTTTACCACATTCATACGCCACCCACCCAAGTCATTTTCCATCCAGATTTAAAAGACGAAAAAAAAAAGATAAAGATTGAATTAAGCTCATCTAAATAAAGCAACATAAAGTTCTTGATTTTATAAAATTTTCAACGACAACATAGAGACACCAAAGACGACCAAAACAAAAGGAAGGAAAAGGAATGAAAGGGGGATGATGGCACGTTAAAAAGAAGTGCCAGATACAGAGAAACATGACACCTTCCATTATAATTTACAAATTCAATGGTCTGAAAAAGCCTCTTGACCATAGTTAATACTTAATTCATTCCTCCATGGAAACCCTTTTTTGAGCTTGTGGCTGGAGAATTATTGCTTGTTTTTTTATATGACAGAGCTGCTCCTGAAGGATCCAAGAGCTTTAACAGCAGATGCCCTCAGGATAAATTGGTGATAGATTGCAGCAATGGCAGCACCAATGAAAGGTCCAACCCAGAAAATCCACTGAAAGAATTCAAACATTACAAATATTGCGTAAGCATCAAAATTAAAAAAAAAAAAAAAAGTGCCATAAAAACGAAGGGAAAATTATAATCAATTTTGCAAGTGAAGGTTCATACCTGGTCATCCCATGGCTTGTCTTGGTTGTAGATAACAGCAGCTCCAAAACTACGAGCAGGGTTGATGCCGGTGCCAGTGATCGGAATAGTGGCCAAGTGGACCATGAACACAGCAAATCCAATGGGAAGTGGTGCCAGGACCTTAAATTAGAATATAGAAAAATTAGTAACTAGGATAATTTCTGTAGAATTTGTACATTTTATTACGTCTATCTACTTCCTACTGTCATTTCAAATTCAGAATCATACAGTCAATGAATTTTGTAATCAAACCAAAATTGAGAATTTTAAGAAATTTGTAGCCTAATTGAGAGATAAAAAGGAAAAAAAAAAAAAGGTTTAGAATTGGTTAAGTTAGAAACATACAGGGACATGGGAGTCTCTTGCATTCCTCTTGGGATCAGTAGCAGAGAAAACAGTGTAGACAAGAACAAAAGTGCCAATAATTTCAGCTGCCAAACCGGTTCCAGTGCTGTATCCATCAGCGAGTTTGTTGGCTCCTCCTCCATACTGTTGGAAGTAAGACTTTTGGAATGCTTTCACCAGCCCACATCCACAGATGGCTCCCAAACATTGAGCAGCCATGTACAATATGGCTCGGACCAAGGACACCTTCCTAGCCAGGAAAAGCCCAAAGGTCACTGCTGGGTTGATGTGTCCCCCTGCATTTTTTATCTAAACTGTTAGTCAATCTGCTATTTTATTGTAATTTTTAAAACTTTTTTAACACTTTCTTGCTTGTCAAATACAAAAGAAAGAGAGGTAGAAGTTACCTGAGATACCAGCAGTGCAGTAAACAAGAATAAAGATCATGCCACCAAAAGCCCAAGCAATGCCAAGAATGCCAACACCACCACATTGTTCACCGCCCTTGGCGGTATCAGTCTGGCTACTGTATCCAATCACTGTCAACACAGTGATGTACAAAAACAGTAGCGTGGCAATAAACTCAGCTATTATAGCCCTGTAAAAAGACCACTTTGTCAACTCCTCCGGATCGACCAGTGGAGCTGGTGGAGGATCATGGTAGTCCTTGGCTTGAAACTCACCACCAACCTCAATATCCTTAGCCATGGCCTCTTCTTACTACTTAGAAACTTCAATGAAAAAGCAATCAAAAAGAGACAGAAGCTTAGGGTTTTTCTTTCCTTTGCGAAAGACAACTGGAGTAGGGGTATATATGGGGGTGAAAGGAGGGAGTTAAGTGCGTATTGCCGTCCAACATTACAAAAGGTATGGTTCCTTTCACTGTCAAATTAAGATCAGTGGACTGTGTGATCAAATATCTGTAGTCAGCTCTATTTATTAAAAAGCCCACTTAGGTTTCTGAAAGTTATAGCGTTGAATTTGGTTGGAAAAAACCAAGTTCATTATTTATGTATTTTAGTTTACAATTATTAGGGTATATTTCTCGTTGTAGTTGTCAAAAGTGAATGGATAAGTTAATTTTTATTGGACCATGAACTATAACCAGTTATTTTTTAGTTGAATAATAATTAAATAAACTTAAGGTTACGGTTATTTTTAAAAATAATATTTAATAATTTAAATTTTTAATATTTATAATCTTTTTTTATTATCATATTATAATTTTTATTGGACCATGAACTATAATCAGTTTTTTTTTAGTTAAATAATAATTAAATAACTTAAGATTATGATTATTTTAAAAAATATATTTAATAATTTTAAATTTTAAATTTTGATATTTATAATCTTTTTCCTATTCTCATATTACAATTTTTTTATTAAAAATAATAATTAAAAAAAGTTACATTATTTTCACCTATCTCGTTTTATTAGTAGTATACAAACCATGGATAATGTATTTAACTTTTCAATTTATTTCTTAATAAATTAATTAAATAATTTGAAGAGTGCAGCTTCCACTATTACTATGACTATTATTGTCCTTCCCTCCAATGATGATGAAAAAAAAAAAAACGCTCAGTAAAGAAATCCTTTAAAAAAGAGAATAAGTGGCTCACAATTCGCCACTTGTCTTGAATCTAATGGACAGCTCAATCACCAGAAATGGATGACGTGGGGGAGGGGAGGGCGTGACTAAAAGGTGTACCGACTAATCATCGTTTTTTCCACCACCACCGTCCATTTCAACTCGGTCCCACCCACCACCGCCGTTGATAGCCTCAACAACTCTTCTTCTGCCACGTTGTATTTTAGCCCCACCAATCGTTGGTCATTTATTCTGCCTTATTTGTTTTTAATCTAAACAAAAACGCTGTGCTTATCTGTAAATTCTAATACAGAGGCCGAAAAAAATCTCTAAATCCTAATCAATAATGATAATAATAATAATAATTAATTATCTCCATAAAATCCAAGCTATAGAAATACAAAAGAAACACAGAAAAATTTCCTGGATTATTTCAGCCACGTGTCAAATAGTAAAAATTTTCAAGGATGATGATTGGCCATTAAACTTGTCGGTTGTCGTCTTCTAAATTTCATCACGTGCACTCTGTGTGAAGGATGCATCATTTTTTTTTTTTTGGGTAAAAAAGTGAGTAGCTCAATTCTCGCGCCAACGCGGGACAAGGAAAATTCACAAGCACTCGAAAGAAATATTATAAAAAATTATTAAAAAAATTAAAATATGAAATTAATTACGTGAAAACAAACAAATTTATTAATTCAATTAATTTTTATCATTGTTTAACTCATATATTTATTGAATCGAAAAATTAAAAAAAAAAAAAAGCACTAATCAATCATACTTTGGGATTACAAGTTCTGTGTCCAATCTCAGCTGAACCAAATTTCTTTCTTTTTTGATTCAACATTACCCTGATTATTACAATTTACAAGTTCAAGCAAGCTGTCTTCAGGAGTTTTTTCTCATCAGATATTGAAAGAGAGACCTATGGGAAAAAGATAGAACCTGTCCTGGAACTTGTCTGCAGGATTATGGACTCTGCTGGATGTAAACTGGAAGTGGATGGTTCTTATAAGGAGTTGAAGAAAGAAATTATTGTTCACAAGACAACGAAAATGGAGAGGTTTCTGCCCCTTTAAGCTAAAGCCATGTAGAAAAAATGGAAGATGAAGTAAAGCAATTGTCACGAGCATGGGACAAATGTGGAAAACACTTGTGGAATACACAGTGCAAGCAAACCTACCATATAATTGATTGGTATAACTTTCTAGTCAGATATATAGATAATTTTCAAGTTGAAGAAAGTGATGATGAAGCGGCAAGTTTTCAAAGCTAAAGAGCCCAACTCCATTAGTTTTGAGAATCGGTGCACGTGTCCCCAATTCAAAAGACTGATTTGATTGATTCTGATAAACAAAAAATGATATTGATGAACCCCAGGTCTCCAGATTTTCCCTATTAGTCAGATACCTTCTCTGAAAAAATAGAGATGAGTTTTAACATTTAACATTGAGGTATAAAATAAACCTTACCCCTTCAAATGACAACATCTTGCATGATTTTCTTGCAAAATTTTTGTGTGGAAATTTAATTTTTATTCTGTTGCGCAGAATGATTTTAAGACAGATTTCATCATTTGAAAAAGGCTATCAAATTTTGCATCCAGGGCAATTATTGGCAAAGTTAAAGCATTAGTCAGAAATTTAGAGTAGCTCTTTCACTGGATGTCATGAATTTATATGACCTTGGAGTCAAAGTTTCAGTCTGGAATAATTTTAAACATGCAATTCTCATGATGATTCCAGGATGATGACAAAATGGAAAATTTGAGGGCAAGACAGTAATTTAAGTGAAAAGAAAAATTAACTACTTTCCTTCATAGGAAGAGAATATATACAAAATAACAAGAAAACTGATGTACAAAATTTACAGTACATTGCTGATTCAGGGAGTGCTTAGTTTTCTCAATCCTTGATGGATGATGCATTCATGTCCTTTTTCTACTCTTTTTGGTTGCTTCTCCGCGTTCATTAGATGCTAAGAAGTCTCGAGGAATTCGGGTATACACTCAGCAGAATCCTGCAATTTTGCATTGTCACCATACTCCTCAGCAGCATCTTCTATAATGGTCTCCAAACCTGGAGAATTGGAAGGCTTTTCGGGGAAAATGATTGGAGCTGGAGCTACTTCCATCCAAGAATATCTTTTCCAACTTTCCTTAGCCATTTAAGCCTTAACGAAGAGACAGTTTCTAAAATGTTTATTGATGATTAACAAGGGGTATATTGTGAATTCCTCTCTTCCTCCAATTCCTGGGAAGAAGAGAGATCTCAAAAACACCAGGGGAGAACTTTAAAAAACGCTTGTTTTGGGTTCTACAAGAAAGAACAAGGAATCATTTGGGATTTGAGAAGAATGACAATGCCAAAAGAGCTTAAATAGAGAAGGATGAAAAGGACGCAAAACTAAAAATATCCAAGCGTCGAGTCATAGGCCAAATCGATGGTAGACCGCAATCCATTTGTACATTGTTAAACACGGCTTCTTGAACGAAGAAAGATAGGATTACGTGTGGAAATCTTGGGAAGCAATGCATTTATTTCACCAAAATTGGTATTTTACGAGGTCCAGGTGAATAACAAGCGTTGATTCCAGAGTACTCCCGCGGTCACGCGCAAAAATAGAAAATGACTTCAATACCAGCCATGAAGGTGGTTTTTGAAAACCAAGTAAATAAATGGTTCTTGAGGACGAAACTTTACCAGTCAATAATCTATTTTTGGCTAATCAAAAAGAGACCTTACTATTAGAAAAACTAAAGAGACCTTACTATTAGAAAAACTTACATTGAAAAAGTAACTTGAACCTCCTCCATAGAATGTGTTAGTAGTATTTGTTTAGAAAACTGACTGCCGTCGATGGGGAGGCTTATGGACGAGCATCAGCTGGAGAACTGTTAGTGATAGTTTAGGTAACTGGGATTTCTAGAAAGATTCATTGCAGAACTATGTTGGTTGAAGGAAGGATTACCTCTTGCCCGAGTCTTTGGTTGTATTCTTGATTGTGGAACTGTATGCAACGGTTGAAACTTTTTGCACCACGGTGTGAATGATCATCAAGCATATATGATAGCCTCGTTAGCTACCGCCCAAGCGAGGAAATCGGATTGTGAAACCAAGGTAAAAGTTAAAAGGTAGAGAAATAAATAAGGGCCAAATACTGAAGTTACCGTCCATGGGTTGACGATTTTAAAGGCCCTTTCTCCGGGCTTGAGCTTCTCTTGGTGGCTAATTTAGCTGGTCCTGCTAGTGTGAGTGCGTAGTTCGCACTTAGTCTGACCACATATTTTCTGAGGGAAAAAAGGCTGTAACATGAAAACTAATAAACCCTACCTATCAAGGAATATGATTAATGTAACCTTAACCCCAATGAATCTAAAAGTACATATTCCAACAATTGCTATCAAACTTCAAATCCACAGTTTCCCATAACTTCCTATAGACCCATATGATTTGTTTTTCCCAATCTACAATGGAAATCCCTAGGTACATCAGATTCGTAACCCAGCTAAAAATATCATGAAAGGTGACAAGTTAATCAAATTTCTAAACTCATTATCCTTCCGACACAAAACATTTGCATAAGGGGACTAAGTCCCAACTTTTGGTACGATATAATTAAATTCATTATATCATCAATTAAATTTAAATATCAATTTTAATAAAATCAAATCAATATAAAAATTTTATTAAAAATTTTTTCAATTATAGTTACAATAATTTTTTTTCAATCACAACTATAATAATTTTTATTACAGTTTTTAATTTCACCCTAACTAATTTTATGCACAATCGAATGGAACCAAAGAATTAAAGTAGAAACCTTGATAAGAGAGCCTAAAGCTGTGGTGATATGGTTATTGTAGCCCATATCTCCTAACTCGTTAGTGAGACAAAAAGTTGCTGTCCTCAATTTCTTTGATTGGCAGTGGTATTAAAGGTGAATTTTTTTCCTTTCTTTTCTTTTTTTTTTTGTTCTTTTTATAAGTGAGGAAGAATGCCGACTGATGTTAACTGCCATTCAAGTGGGAAGCACAGTGTAAGGTTGATCAAACGAGAAACTGTAAAGTGAAATTGATCAAGCATCAAATATCATGCAAATAGCTAGTTCTTGATCAAGTACCATGAACAATAGACAGAATATAAAATGACTCCATCATTCCATACAGACACCATATGCTACCGAAGTGACTGACATGTCCTTATTGACGACAATCAACTTGATGCCCAAAGGATATTATCCAGTGCAAATATGGAAGCTACAAGTCCAATGCAGAAAAGCTTTTCCTCCCAAATCTACCTAAGTTATAACCAATGCTTATCAAGTGATATTCAACTAATAATTTGTATCAATATCAAGCAAGAAAAGTGAAAGAGAACCCCCTAGACCACTTACAACTTAAGATCACAACAGACCGCTAAGGTTCTCAAAAATCCGAACAACTCAGCCCTAGCAATAGGATTCCACAACAGATATCATGAACTTCAAATCCATAGCTATTCTATAGGCCATAAACACATTCAAAAAACAATAGAGAACTGCAACCAGGAGCAATAGCACAATCAAAAAGCATAAGTTAAATGCGTGCTAGTTGTCAATCTAAGAATCAATATAATACCACATCGAAACAATTGATTTAAGCATCAATACACCTTACATTACTACAGTCCAAAAGCATCTAGAGGCAGTAATGTTACTGAAACAAATTTAAATAACTAGCAGCCTGAACTAATCATCAGCAAAATGGCGAAATGCTATCAAAACGGAAGATAAGCAGGAGGAAATAAAAAGAATTATAATAAGAATCAATCACCACAAAACTCAAAAATCCTACCACACATTCAACAATTCATCAAACACAGAAGCAAATTACATGCATCAGAAAATAAATTCATCAAAATTAAGATTTCATCCCAATATTCGTTCCACAATAAGCAAAATCACCTAAAGCAAAATTTAAACCATAAATCTCATTCCACCATCCTCCACAATTTTCATCATCAATAAACCCCTTATGAGAATTAATCATCATCATTTTAACAGTTATCCAAAACTTATAAAAACATAAACTTTAAAAAAGAAAACAATAATTAAAGCGAAACCAAAAAAAAAAAAAACACTTTTTTTACTCCAAGGGAACATCAATTTCCCCCTCAGAAATCTCCTGCTGCATATCTTTAGGATCTTTCCCATCAACCGTACAGCCAACAGAAACACAAGTTCCCAAAATCTCCTTCACTGTTCCTCTCAAATCCTTAGCCATAGATCTGGGCCTCATCACTCTAGCAATCTCTATCACGTCATCAAGGCTAATACTCCCATTATGCTTAATGTTCTTTGTCTTCTTACGATCCCTCTCGGGCTCTTTCAATGCCTTGATGACCAACGCCGCGGCGGAGGGGACAACAGTGACTTTGGCTTGACGGTTCTGGACAGTGAGTTTGACGGTGACACGTAAGCCCTTCCAGTCCTTGGCGGTTTCTTTGGCGATGTCTTCACCGATTTTTTTGGGGGAGAGACCCAAAGGACCGATTTTGGGTGCGAGGGAACTGGCAGCTCCGACTTCACCTCCAGTGACTCGCACGAATACGTCAACGACTTGGGTCGGGTCGAACTTTGGCGGCATGGTTGCCTGCGACGACGGTGGCTACGGTTAGGATTGCGAAGAGTTAGAGAGCAAAACTGAGATTTTGGCGGAGGCGAGGTGGAAACTAGGAGAGTATCGAAGAGTTTAAAGTGATGGGAAATTAGGGTTTTAGGGTGTGTAATGTGTTGGGCTTTTGAAATGACGAAATAGTCCTCGGGTTTTGGAGAAATCTCTGGGCCCCTGTTGGCCCATTTAGCTACCCAATTTGAAATGAGACCTTTACCCAAGCCCACAAAAAAGTTTGCTTTATTTATATCTACAAATATACCATCACATCGCCAAATTTTTGGTGCAAGCGGTTAAAATTTAATATTTAAATGCAAAGCGTCTAGGTTTGACTCCCATAATAAAATTTTTTATTGATTGAATTTCTTGTACAATCAGGCTGTTTATGACATCGGCCCAAAAAAATTAGATTATAATTAACTAAATTTAATATAAAATTAATTAAACCCATATATAACGAGATTGAACTTAAAATCTCAGGAAAAATTACAATTGAAAGTAACTCTTTATATCTAACGTTGTGTCTCATCAGCTATTAAAATTTAAGACGTCATCTTAAAAGTTCGTGTTTGAATTTTAAGATAGTTAAGATAGAATTTACATGATAAAATTAATTTTTTAAATCATATTAACATATTATCAAATCTCAAAATATAAATCTACCAGTTAGCAAGGGATGCATATATAAAGCAAACATTACCATGGATATGAGACATAGGTAATCTCTTCTCCTATCATCATACTACGTCGTATTTTGCACTGAAAAAGAGCCATCTTGGGTACCCTACCAATTGATAAAGAATCTATGGACATGCCACATGCATCCTTTAAATCCTCCAAGGAACTCCATTATTACCATACATTACACAATTAACTATGTTTAAAAAAAGGGGGATAGGGGGGGTCATTTGTAATAAAAGGGGTTTGGATAAGATAAAGATAGATTCTAATATCCATAGCAAATTAGATAACCTTGAAGAAAATAAAATATACTCTAAGAACAACATTATTAGGCTATTTTATTTATTTTTTAATCCAATTAAGATTTAAATATTATCTAACATAAGATTTTCTAAAGACTTTAGCTCATCGTATGGCAAGGCATGCATGCCTAGGTTTTCTTTAGGAAAATACTAGACTTATTGGCCTTGGAAAATTCAATAATTTACTTTGGAGGAGCTATTGTAGTACTAGCTAGGCCAAATCTTACATACTCATAAAATATTAGCAAGATTCACCATTATTACTTCTTACTGTTGTTTTTTTTTTTCTAATGAAATTTTCTAGAGTTTAGGTTTTGATTAGACGTTTTAAAAGACATGTAATTTGGATTTAATCGCATGGGTTTGTGTGTATTAAGAGTTAAAACAAATATCAAAGTTAGAAGTTTTTTCTTACTACCAATCGATGAACTCGTGATTCACAAATAAAATGTTTATTTTAATATATGCATGCATCATTTGAGAAACAAATGTTTGGTTTGAATTGGGAATCATTTAAAGAAATTTATGTACCATTAAAAGAAAGGTTTGTGTACAAAATTATTATATCTATGACATACAAATTTATATCTTATTTAAATTAAATATTTTTTTATTACATCAAGATAATAAAATATTAATATAAATAAATAAAATAAATATTTAATATACCTTCAAATACCTTTAATCACTAAACTAAAGATTTTGAGACGAATATATTTTTTTTTAACTTCTAATTAATTAAACCAACATAAAATATTTTGTTTATAAATACATTACATTGATGTAAATAGTATATTTTTAAGAATGTTAAAAAAAAATTACGTCCAAACTAAGTTTAGAAAATTTTCGGTTTTTATAAATTTACAATATGTGATATTTTTTTTTTCTTTGCATTTTTGACTAAGATTAAGGATCCAAGTGTTTAGTCACAAAATGTACATTTCGATACGATAATTATGAATTTTTCAATCAAACTCTCAAATAAATTTTAAAAACAAAATCAGGATGATTCATGGATAAATAGGTATATCCATCGTACTGTTGGACTTTTAAAAAAAAATTAAGACGATTATTTTATGCATGGCTGCTTTTTCTTCGGATTGAAAAACAAAAATGTTGTTTCCAAAATAAATGTATAGCCGAATTGTTTGATGGGGTTATGGAAACAGCATGAATGCACGATGTTGACAACACAATTCACCATTAAAATTGTTACATAACGTCTCATTCCAAATTTAAAATTTCAACAGTACCTGTGATTTAATTAATAACTAACAACCTAAAAAAAAAAGTAGAGAAAAAAGAAAAAAAAAAACTTCATGACAATATATATATATATATGAGAAATTATCAAATATACTGATAATGAAAGTTTTTAATTTTATAAGTGAAATTAAGATAATGACACATACCCTTTTTATATTTAAAATAATTAATTTAAAAAAAAATCAGATATATGTTATCATTTTAATATCGTTTATGAAATTAAAAAATTTACTGTTAATGTATTAAATAATATATATATATATATAAGCAAATTAATTACTTACCGTAACTTTGCTGCCTATGGTGAAATGCAAAAGGAAGTTGTGAAGATTAAATGAATTTCATATGTTCAATGGATTTGAGTTAAATTTTAAATTTTATTTTAATTAATTTATATAATTATTTTTAAATTGTATTATTTAACAAATTTGATATTCAAATTTTAATATCTACAAATTAAGATATCATATGAACAGAAAAAACTTGGGCCAAAATTTCACTTATTAAAGTGAAAAATATAAAAACCACATATAAACAAAATTCAACATGTTGCAATGATTTCAAAATTTTAACTTGAAATTTTAACTTTTTCATGTGTCTTAAATTATGCTTATCTTGCCAATCAAGCTTTGGTTTAGTAATAAAAAGAAGGTTTTATAATTTAAAAAATTTAGATCCAAATCATACCGTGCATGGATTTAATTATTTAGTTATATTCTAATATTTTAATTGGTTATTTGTTTACTATAATTTAATTATGATATAATAATTATGAATATAACTTAACTCTTAAGTAATAGTTATAAATGTAACGTGAATTATATTAATGAAGTATTTGATTATAATTATAATTTTAAAAAATTTTATGCCTACCCTAAACAATCTCCCACAATAACTCCATATTATATATATATTTTTTTCTTTAATGAATTCTATAATATCTTTCAAAGGCTTGTCAAATAATGATTCAAAATTCAAAAATATGTAAAGAATAATATAATATTTAAAAGAAAAAATTTATATTTCAAACTATTTATATTTTTATGAAACATGTCAATAAAAATTATAATCAAAATAAAATAAATTTTAATATACATTAAAAAATTAAAAAATAAATCAAACTAACAAGTAGCAATCAATGCATTAATTTAATTAAACAAAATTCCCATTCGATAATTTCTTAAACTTAAAACGTAAAATTTTGGAGACTTGGTCTTGCAATTGAGACAAAACTTCATTAAAATTTTGAATAATTTTATTTTTTTAAATAAAAACTTTCAACTTTCATATCATTATGACAGGTAGGCTTTTAAAATTTTGTCATCGTGACATGCCACATCATTTATTTTAGTAGTGAATAAAAATCGATTTGAATCAATTAAATTGATCGAAATTGAATGAATTTGATTGAATCGATTTAATTTATTCGATTTTATTTATAATCGATTTTTTAAATCGATTAAATTGATTAATTTGATTAATTTTTTATTTTTTAAAATTGATAACTCATTGATTGAATTAATCGATTTTTTAATAATTAAAAATTAAAAAATTAAGATAAATATTTATTTTTTGTAAAATATTATTAAATTTATTAAATTTTTAATAATTTAATTTGAATGATACTAAAATTTAAATTTTATTAAATTAAATTTATAATTAAATAATTATTTATAATAAAAAAATTAAAAAATAAATTATTTAATTGAATCGATGAAAACAATTGATTTTAATTAATTATATTATAATTAATTATTTAATAATATTTAATCGATTTAATTATTTATTAAATAAAAATCAAATAAATTAATTATTGATTTTTTAAAATCGAATCGATGTTTGATTATTTACTCACTCATAATTTACCAATCGCGACAAAAATAAAAACTCTCACGAAATTAAACGATAAGATTTAAAAATTGCGGTACATACGTGTCAAGATGTGGACATCCTGATCTCTAAATTTCGGTGATGGGACATGCCCTTGGTCTTGCAGTCCACTCAGCCAATGAATTCTGCAGTGACCAATGGAGCGCTGTGGTTGGTCCACTATTCATCCGCTTGGTTCGATTGGATAAATTTCCTCGGCGTCCACTATCAATTATTCAATGGAGGGCCCATAAAAAATTTATATTACGTGTCATTTCGTGAGCTGAAAATTACTAACATTTAAAAAAAATTTTAAATAGTGTCCAACGTGTCATCCCGAGGTAATTTAAGGATTTTAAACAGTGAGAAATTATCACATGCTTTTAGGTAGCCCCCATTAAATTGAACACGCTTTCAAATATTTTCTAATAATTCCACTTAAAAAGTATTATTTGCTTAAAATAAATAATTTAATTTATGATTTTTAAAAATTGTTTGTCTGATGATATTTTGAATTGAAAAATGAAGCATTCAATTGTTTTTGGTAAAAAATTAAATATTAATTATTAAATTAAATGTTCAAATATAATTATTTATTTGATTTTAAAAAAAAAATTGAATCCGATGTTTAAATAGAATAGACGTCCACCTAGTACTAGTTATTGTTGAAATTTTAACAAGTTATAATTCACTAATAAATGCAAAAAATCATAAACCAATAATGAGCAAATTGTACTTGAAATCAACCTATCATGTGAGAAAATCAAGTGAGAAGCTCATGGGTAGCCGGTGAGGATGCAAGCATGGTAAAAATTTCCCTCCTTATAACTTTGACTTGCTTAGTAGCAAGAGAGAGCTTATCCACTACACCATTATAAAAATGCAAGATGATGAACCATTATAGCAAAGGAAAGGAAAGACGAGACAGACCCAAAATTTCTTGTTTTCTTCTTCTTGCAAAAATGGCATCAAGGAAGATCTTTTTTGGTTCAAAACCAAGCTACATCTACCCAACCACGGAATTGGATGATGGAAATCTCATCAACAACACTTTATCTGATCATAACAACCATTTCGAGTTCGATGAAGCAGATGTATGGAACAATTCAAATGATCAAGCAACAAGTAACGTGGATGCTAAAAACCCATTGCCAAATTCACGAGCTAAGAAACTTTTCAGAAAGATGGAGGTAAGTGATAATCATAGGTCGACCCAAATGGCCGCCTCAGCTTCATTGCCAGTCAACATCCCGGACTGGTCCAAGATTCTTAAAACAGAATACAGGAAACATGGCAAGAGTGACGAAGAAGTTGACGACGGTGATCGTGATGGAAGGGTTCCTCCGCATGAATATTTGGCTAGAAGAAGAGGCGATTCGTTCTCTGTTCATGAAGGAATTGGAAGGACTCTGAAAGGAAGAGACTTGCGTCGAGTAAGAAATGCTATCTGGAAAAAAACAGGGTTTGAAGATTAACCCAAGAAACAGAACAAAAAACCCAGGTTGAATCCTGTGTTCTTTCTTTTTTTTGAGTAAGATAATTTTATAGAGTTAATTGGCAAATTTTTTTATTGCCATATCCATATTTTTTCAACTTTTATCCTCTGATTTTCGGTGTTTTCAGATTCATCAGTGGTTTTTTTTTTTTTTTGGGCAGATCTCAATGATAATTTATTTTTTGTTTAAAGTAGCAACAAGCTTGTTTCACTATTTCCTTTTAGGGTATTTTATTTATTAAGGAAATTGACAGAGGAAATTAAAAACTACGGATGGTGATGCAGACTCATAGAAATGGTGGTTGTTCGCAGGATAACAACAGGCTAGCTAAGAACAACCCTTTTAAGTAAAATTCACTGTTCATTCAATCTCTCAGCAACTGACAACTCTAGCCTTTGGATTTTTCTTCTTGTCTGTAACACCGACCACGACTGGAAATATTTATTTTATGGTTTGATGTCAACATAAAGTATTACCTTATCCGATGTTGAATTATTCTCAGAGACTTTTGTGTATATGTTGTTGTTGCATTAATAAAATATATATATAAGCCATTTATTTTAATCTGAAAATAACGTTATAGTACAAAAAAAAAAAGAAAGATGTTGTCATTGCTCATTATTAATTTTTCTTTAAATGCAAATTACCTTCTCACCAAAAAGAGAAAAACAAATTTTTTTCATGAATGTCATCATGACTGATTCACGAGAGTTTATGTTCATTGGAAAACAAATATCAGCATGATTGGTTTTGGATTTTAGTTTTCACCAAATAATAATTTACAAGTAAAATGAGATTATTTTAAGAAAAATCTTAAATATTATTATTTTATAAAAGAGATTTTAATTTGAAAAAAATTATAAATATTAAAAATTAAATTATATTTTATTTTTAAAAAATAATTATAAATCTCAAAATGGCTAATCATTCTAATTCAAGATTTTTGAATGTTAGATTTTAATTTTTCTTTTATTTTTTTCAAGTTAGGCAATTACTCTATTTTTAAACTACTAAAATGATTTTGAGAGAAACTAAAGATAGGACAAAACTTAAAAAATTCTTACTTAAGCTTGAAGAAAAAATGTTCTTAACTGTCAGTCCATCTACGATTCTACAAAAAAAAAAAAAAAAAACTGCAATTACAATGGTTGGGCAGTATTAAATAAATCACCAA